TGAAAATTACACAGCAGGAGAGCAGTGGGGAGTGGAGGCAAAAAAAGGAGGGTTGAGAGGCAGCAACAGCACTGCATCATCTGTAATCACAGGGGCCAAGACAAGTGGTTTGTTTCAGTGGGAAGGAAAGAATAATATGCAATAATGAATGCAATTGGCCAGGTGAGGTAAAATATGCTGTGGTCTTCATTCTGCTCATCACCATTTTGCTCTACCTTCCTTGGCCTCAGAAGGTTTATTTCAGCTTTACATCACTCCATTAAGTTGTTCTCGGTCTTTTCTTCTCCTTCTTTTTTATTTTTTAAATTATTTTTTCTCCTTCCAGCCTATACAAATACCAAGTTCTCTATCCTCTTGTACCAAACCACTCGCCTGCCTCTTCTGATTGTAATAGCTGGTCTATAAAAGATATCTGTTCTCTTTAAGGCCTTGTTTCTCTCTTCTAACAGTTATCGCAGAATTCTATCTTTTGCCATTTAGCTACCTCCACAAAAACAAAAGTTAATGGCAACAACTTTTGAAATTGTGTATTTTATGATTTTATGTATGCAAGCTGATTTAGCAGGAGAATAGCAACAAATGAGAAATGGCAATTAACACTCCCAGAGCAAAGCCTGTTATTTCTCATGTTCTTCAACCCTTCTCTCACAAAATGCTTTCAGAAAGAAGGCAGCTGATTCTAGCAACCAAGGCTACACATTTCATAATTCCACTCTATTGCTTTTCTGAAAACGAAAATATGTAGGAAGAACATTTCAGTATAACTAATTAGCAGCCTCTGTGTCCTCATCCTTGTTAATTCAAGGGACCTCTCTAAAAGATTCCTCTGGGAGAGTTCCTGCTGTTATAATTTTACCACCTTGTTCAAGCCCAGACATCTACTTTGAAGCTCTGCAAGGAATAATTCCCATGAACACAAAGGCTGAATATCCAGGTGTTATTTGAGAAATTGCCCTCATCTTCATAGTGGAATTTAGCACATACTCTAAATAATAGGTCAGAGTATGGAGAGTTGCAAAGAATTGGAAGAAATATTCTCACCAATCTGTTCAGAAGTAACCATCTGAATGCTGCTGTGGCTTCATTCCTATAACTCCCCTCTTAACAGTAACAGAAGCTGAGCCCCTCCACAATATTATTCTTAATTCTCTCTCAACTTGTCCTTGAGTCATCACAAAACGACTTTGTGTCAAGCGTCATCAACTCAGCTGCTGTACAGCCCCACAGAAGCGGAGAGCTCTGTGCTCACCCTATCCTGAGAGCATCTCCTCTAACTGGGGTGAGGGGGCAGCAGTGGGGAGGCTGCAGGTACTTTCAGAGAACAGAGGGAAATCATTTCCCACTTTTGGAGAGAAGATCTCTTCTGAAAGGCTTCAAAAGCAAGATCTGCCAAAATGCAAGATGAGAAAGTGTTGCCAAATTCTCAAGTTTCCTTTGCAAGGACGCTCAGGCTAAAGCCTGATACAGAAGTAGACTAAAAGAGCATCTTCCTTGTCCACCCTGCAAAGCATTTACTGATTAAAAGTATGCAAGAATCATGCACAGTTCATTTGTTTATGCACTTGTCAATATGTAAACTTCACTTTTAATATGGTTTTGTTCCTTTCAGATGTACTTTATTCCCAGGTATTCTGAAAGGGTCTTAAAGTTACTTCAGCAGGTGTATTGGAGATACTTTCTTTAAAACAACTGGTTAAAAATACCACAACAAAACGATGTTAGTTTCCATAAGCAGGTTTTTCGATTAAAAAAAAAAAAAAAAAAAAAAAAAAAGTATTGAAACAAATTAAAAAAACTCATTTTCCTTGTATTTTCTCAACAGAGAAGAGAGATTTTTCCTGACTTTTTTAAAATGCTCATTAACCAGAAAAATCAAGTAGTCATCCAAGCCAACTCCAGGTAATAAAATGATAATGTTTAAAAGATTCCGTTGTGATTTCTTATTCATAAAATCAGAACCAAATTGATTCTTGAAAATGAGCACATGCTCCTCCAGAACTAATTCTTTAAAGCAGTTTCTCTCCATGTAATGATGGAAGTGTTTTCCTTTTCTTTATGTGCTTGACAAACTTGTATCCCTTCTGCTCTGGCAGGGGGCTGGGGGCTCCCTTTGCTGTTTCAGTCTTCTGTGGCTGTTGGTACAGATCCACTGGGAACAGAGAGTTTTGATAAGATCCAAAGATGCTTCACTGTTGTGGGAGTTCCTCCAAATCAATTATTTGCAAATTTCAAACCTTTTGAAACTTGTCCGTCATTAATCTCTGAGATAACATATCATGGAGCAATATCTGCCTCACGTAGATCACACAAACGGAGGAAACATCTGTGACTAAGCGCCTAAATAGTCTTTGTTCACCGCTACTTTGAACAGTCCTACGAACACATTTGGGTAGGGAAGAAGAGTTTAGTCAAACAACAAAATAAATAAAAAAATCTTTGGTAATGCAGATCATTTCTGTAAGCTCCAGATCCCTAGGGACTTCTGGGGCCATTGCTGCCTACTTTCAAGCACGCCAAATACTCATTTTTCCATGCAGTTTATCCTTGCTATCTTAGGCAGGCCAGCCACCAGATGCTCAGAAATACTCATTCCTCTCCAAATTAGTTCACCTCATTTCAGAGCCAAATCATTCACTTGTCTATTTCCCCTTTGGCCTTTGCAGATAATGGGTTCTGCTATTAGTCAGTCCGGGGGAAATTCTTACTCCCAGTATGAAAAAAAAAATCACTCTGAATTCAAACGGAATTCATTTTCCTAAATATACTACCATGAGTTGCCACACTTTTGTCTTAGACTAGTAGATCTGGCTGTGCTTTCAGCTGAGCACAGATGAAAGATGACTTTAAAATGCAAAAAGCAAAATGTGCTGGTTTTCATTCAAATACATCTTGAAAAGAAATAGCAATTTCTCTCTCTCTCTCTCTCTCTCTCTTTTTTTTTTCCCCCTCCCTCTTACATCCAGGGTTTTAAAAGGTAACATGCAGCGTGACAGGCAGCTAGGAAATGAAAATGCAACAGCAGGCAAGGTTCAAACCTCCACATTGGTGCAATACAGCACGCCGCAGCGGCAATAGTCTGCAGCCATGAGCCCAGAGGTCTGAGCCCTGTACTTGGCACTACCAATACCTCGAGGTATCTCCTGGAAGGAGTTACTTCAAAGAAATTATGTGAAAGACTCACTGAGCCCTGTTCCTTCTGCTTTCTAGGCACAGCTCAGCAATTGCTGCCACGGAGGCCTCGGGGCCAGCAGTGCCAGCCGGGATGTTTGCCGTGTGAACAGAGGCCTCGGGGGCTTCAGTCAGGGACACGGCAGCCTCTTCTCTTCTGAGAAGCACTGCTACAGTCTGTGGCCAAAGTTACCCCTTTTTAAACTTTATATATACACTTCTGCACTCTTTCACAAATCAGGCCCTGTGCTTCATGCCTGGTGTCCTGCCACGTGCTCATTCAGCCTACATAAACCTATGGGGCTGGCTTTAATCTGCTTTCCCAGCATCCCTGGATTTGAAAATGCATCTGCCACAGAGAGAGAGAGGGGATGGAGAGAGAGAAAAGAAGTCAGAGCACAAAGCGAATTCCCTCCTATAAATCTTATTCGATGCAGATATGAGGGCTGACTTAGTTTTGCAGTCCTCACCCCTTCACCTCAGGTGCTGGGATTAATGGGGGACTGTTTTTCCCCTTCTGATTGCGTAAATGAGGAAGCTGTTGACTCGCATGGTACTGGAAAGACATATGTGCTTCATTATCTGGATTCCTTGTATTGTTTCAGCTTGTTGTTGCTGGCTGGGAACATGCAGCCTTGAGCTGTTCCCATTTTTAAAATGCACTTTTTTCTGCCCCGGATTATTGCCAAGTGGAGATTTAAGTACACTATTACTTTTATGGAGGACTATTAAGAGTTATTAGATCCCATTAGAGCAGACTATGCTCTTAAAAAAATTCCTTTATTTTTGAACAACCATTTATATTCATTTAAATCTGACAGAATGTTTGTATCAATACAAACACATTTAATTATATCTTAGATCAGCGAGAACATTTCTCATTTATTTTGTAAAAAATTTTTATTAGTCTCCCCTAAAGACTGCATTCTCCTTACGTAGCTCTAAAGCAAGTCTGAGCCATCATGGATGCTCGGTGTATGGGGGCGACGGACATTGCTGGCATAAGCAGAGTTGGTGAAAGGTGACTGGAAACTTAGCCCCAGCAGAATCTGTACTTCTTTTTTGTTAGGTTCAGATGAAATCCTCTGCTCATGGACACTAACGTATCAAGGGGATTCTTTATATCAGGAGAAGTTGGATCAGACCCTACATTACAGTAGGAATATGACCTAATATTATTGGCAGAAGTCACTACCAGTAACAACTGCACATAGCACCCGTTCCTGGGTGGTTGTGATTATTTAAAGACAGGATGAATGCCTGCTTTAATCCCTGTTTCATTCCAAGCTTACTTCATGCCTTCACTTCTCTTTACAGCGTACATCCAGTTCTCCAAATTTCTGCCCATCACTAGTTCGTCTCAAGTCAATTTCAAATAAAACAAAGGAAACGTCTCAAAGGAGTATAGAATTCTATGTGCTGACACTGTATTTTCTGAAAAACCTATGACGAAGTAGCTCTGCTTGCATCCCTTCCCTTACAGCAGCATTTCTTGTAAGCACCAGTCTCAGAAGCCCAGATCTATGGGTTTGATCTGCTTAAACTGTAATTTGTATAACCCACTTTGGGAAGAATGCTATGTCTTCCTGGAGATTCCCTTCCCTTCCCTTCCCTTCCCTTCCCTTCCCTTCCCTTCCCTTCCCTTCCCTTCCCTTCCCTTCCCTTCCCTTCCCTTCCCTTCCCTTCCCTTCCCTTCCCTTCCCTTCCCTTCCCTTCCCTTCCCTTCCCTTCCCTTCCCTTCCCTTCCCTTCCCTTCCCTTCCCTTCCCTTCCCTTCCCTTCCCTTCCCTTCCTTCCCTTCCCTTCCCTTCCCTTCCCTTCCCTTCCCTTCCCTTCCCTTCCCTTCCCCTCCCTGATACACTGCGAGGAGATGACTAAATGCTGCCACAGGAGGGAGAAAAACAAACAGGAAAGAACTCAAAGGGCTGGGATAGGGCTGCAAAGCAAAAGGCATAAATCACTCAGCTCTTCCCTCCCCGAGCTCTCCTGCAGCCAGCACATGCACACCACCTCCCTTCTGGATGAGGCTTTGGCATGAACGGCAGATCCCATTAATGCTCCTTCATGTTACCACAGCAGAGCAACGCTTGGCAAGAGGATGCAGGATACTCCCTCAAGAAAACTTTGAAGGAACAGTGCTGCACGGCTGGACTAGGTAGTGGAGAGGAGGGAGGGAGGGAGGGAGGGAGAAAGTGGGAGGGGGAGAAATATCCTGGCCCAAAGAAGTGGTTATGTGGGGAATCGTGTTTGAAATGGCTTCGCAGAGAGTAAAACAAGTCCAGGATTAGAAATAATTGAAAAACATGTGTGCCCCTGGAAAACTACCTGTAGGGAGTTTGTGGAGGAAAGAATGCAGTTCCTATTTTTCCTTTCCTTTGAAAGATTGGCTTAACAAAACAATCAACCACATGAAAAGGCAAGGAGCACAATTCTCACATATGCTGCTTGACTTTTTTCATTATTATTCTTAAAGCATGCTCTGTGAGAGGCAGTTGGAAGAAGAGTAACTGCCTGAATCACAGCTAGCCGGGCTCAGCTTGGTCCTGCCTTACCTCCATCCTTTTGTGCTTGTTTTTTAAAGCCCTTAGGTTTTGTCTAGACTAGGAAAAAGGTGTTTTATTCAGGAGTTGTAGTTCAATTGAACTTGTTTAAATAAACAAAAGCCAACACTTGAACCATGTGAGGATTGTGGATTAGCAGCTCTAGCTCAGTTTAAGGGGTGGGATAGAACCAGATTAGGTAAACTGCACCGACTCCTTCAATTTTCCTAATTAGACAGGCCTTCAAAGTTTGTCACAAGTGACAGATTGGGAACCTAAGCAAACTTCTGAACACAGGCTGGGCTCCTTCCACCTGGTTCTCCCCTGGAGGAGCAGGAGAGGAAGAGAATCTCTCCTTTGTAGACCAATTGAACTTAACCTGTCCAACTATTTACCTAGATACTTGGCTTTTATTATAAACTATTTGGGCATTGTCTACTGAAAAGCCACCGAGGAACTGAAAATATTCTTCCAGATGATTACTAAACATACTGACCACAGGGCTGAGTCCCACTTGACTTCTGTCCTGCTGGAGTCCTAGCTCAGGGAATCATTTGGTTCTACCCACAAGGAAGGACAACACAGTAGGATTAGCCTTTTCTCCACTACTCCTTTTTGTTTGCAAGCTGCCTTTCAGAAAATGGACAAAGCAGTTAATAAATTATTCTTCTTATGCCAGGTATTTTCCATTTGGAGTTTTATCTGTTGCTGGGTTTTGGCACCATTAAACTATTAATGGTAATTTTAAAAAGAAGTGGGAAACTAGCTTCCTGGATTGTAGCTTTTGGCTCTCCTGCACAATAGGATGATGAAGCTTGCAAGTATCTGTTGTTACCTGCAGCTAACTAACTCTACCTGGTTACCGCTTATCTTTCCTCTGCCTTTCCACCTCTGCATTACATAAGGGTTCCAGGAAGGCCGCTGAGATGACTGTGTTAGTGTGTTTGGTTTTATACCTTTGTCACTTTATATCCTTCTTTGGCAGTTGCATCTACCTACATAATTGCCCTTATTAAAAGGCTTAGTCATGGTCTGAAGTAAGTGTAAGCCACTGCTGTCTGTGCACAAGTGTGCTTTGAGTTATACCACAGAAAACTGGGGTCCATCAGAGTTTTTTTGCTTACGTATCTTTCCATTCATACAAGACTCTCGCTTTGAGAATGAAGCAACCTCCAGTGCTGAGCATTTGCACAGGAGGAGTAGAACTCAGCTTGGATCAAAACCTATCCAACATCACCTGAATCAAAACTTCATTTTGCTTCACATTAATACTCTCTTAAGGGTTCTGTTCAACACAATGCAGTGAAGAGAAGAAAAATGTAGTCTCTGGTCCAGGAAGCCTGTTGTCTGAACTGGAGTGGTTCCAGGGTAGCCTTTCTCATACAAACTAAGTCAGGGAAATATTTTTTGTCGATTAGTATAGTTGTGAAGTTGTTCTTCTTTGTGAGAGAAGAAGATTCACATAGATTGGGCTGTTAGAGGAGTATGATTTAGCAGACTTTTAAATAGCATGGTAGTGTACTTCCAAAAGGGTTTCAGAAAGGCAGAGAAGAATTAACAAAACAAGGAAAAGAGGAGAAAGAAACAAGCAAGGAACCTTTAGCATTCTGATGAAAATTTGAAATTGATGTTAGGCAGCAAATGGCTGCTAATAGGAAGACACTCAGTAACCTAACCTAGAAGCTGCTGGAAAGGAAAGAGAACGGTGCTGTGTAAGGGAGATTTACACCCAGGTCAGGAAGACGACTCAGGAGAGTCACAAGACCTGGACAGACTGTTGGAGGAAGTGAAAAGAGATAAAACAGACCGTATTTATTTTGCATTCTACTGTAGTCTGGAGGTGAATATACCACTGTGTTTGATAGTGTGCATAAATACTACAAGAAAATTATTTTTGCCCCTGAAGATATTAGAAAATTATCATCTAATCTACAGAAAGAAAAACAAACTACAGTAGAAATCCAGCAGGAAAACAACATGGTTCTGAAGCAGGCCCACCACTGATTGTAACTATCCCCCAAACTGCACAAGATAGATTTTTAATGGGGCTAAGCTTCAGATTCGTTACCTTTAAAGCTTCAGCCTTGTGACTAGTACGTGTGAGCTGAAAGGAACACCATCTGGACAGGTCAGTGAAGCAGGAGGGGGAGCTCACTGAAACTGGAACACATCTTGGAACTATCGTGGTTCCTTTTTTTCCAGGGAACGGAGGGGAGTGGAAATGGAAAAACGTCAGTGAGAAAAACCAAACAGGGCCCAAAATGCAGAGCTGAGGAAGTCTGCAATGGAGAATCTAGTTGAGACAGCTGTGCTGAGGCTGACCTAAGCTAGGGCTGACCAAGCAACTTCCATGATGTCATGCTGTGCTTTGATGGACCATTAAGTGAGCTCATTGGTCCAGTCCTTGCTCCTGACACCTATTAAATCCACAGATTTTGAGTTGGAGTTGTCAAGGTAGTGCTGCATCGGACACTGAGGGAATCCACATGGATTATTGCGAAAGAGACAGAGCCTGCAGAAAAGCTCTCAGCTCTTTTCTTGACTGTCTTTTCAGAATATTTTTTGTATGCATGTTCCGTGATTGGATTAAAGAAGGAAAGGAATTACTTACTACCTGCCCACTGTATCTACTGTTTAACACCAGGTGAATCTAGGAAAGCTGGTTTCTGAGCTTGGGCCTAGACTTGTTCTCTGTAGCCTAGTAGGAAATATCCCTCAATTTCAAAAGTATAGGGAAAAAGTTAATTCTACATTGCTTCTAAAAAAATAACGAAGGATTAATTCACATTTACAGTAGTCACAAGACATCGCAAGTATTCAGTTTTTTTCATCCCAAAGGATTCCAGTCACTGTTCACATTTACATTGTAGATAACAGGTCTTACATAGCATGGTGAATTGCAAGCTCCTTGCAAGACATTGAGCACTTCTTGGATACAGATCCCATCTGCTTTTCTTGCAGCAGCTAACAGGATCAGGGATGCCATAAACCTCACAACAGGCCCAACACTGTCCTGTCCACTTCAGAGGAACTGTTTCCAGGGAATATTATGAGTCAAGAGAGTCAGTGATGCAATTATCTTTTTAAATGAATCCTAAATGGTGGCTCAAACACTCACTATTTGTGATTTTGATTATCCTCAATCAAGTTTTCTTCAGGGGATCCTCTGCATATTTCCACGCCCCCTCATTCAGGTTCTCACCGTTTCCCATTTCTAGGCCTCACAAGAATGCCAACACACTCCCTCCTGCTTCCTTCTTCCCACAGAGCTAAGCTAAACATGGATCGTGTATCCCATACACTCCTTCATCTACCACCAACCTTCAACTCCCAGCAACACCTCCAACGACGTGCACAAGAGTGCCACTCTGTGTGGCTGGAGTGGAGAGGGAAATTCTTGTGATACCCATTCTTCTTGACAAAGGTCAATTATTTTGACTAGGTGTATTAATGAAGTGCAAACTGACAAGCAACGAAGAGACTGGCTAGTGAGCTGCTTCTTACTTCCACCAGGAGCCTTGAAGTGCAGGACAGATTCCAGGAAAGATTTTCTGGAAAATGAAGAGAGACCCAATAAAGTCTCTAAGCCTGGGCAAGTCAATAAACTGTCACAGTTGCCCGGAAGGAATTGGCTTGTCTTAGATAAACTCACAAAGGCCCTGAAAAAACAGGACTTTTTTAAACGGCAGAGATTAATTTTCTGACTTCAAAGAAGTATTAATGCAGAACTTGGCTAAGGTTTCCTGCACAAGCAGTTTCCCCCCGAGCAATGATTTCAGAATCCGCCTTGTTTTAAGGCTGGCATTTGCTGCAGCTGCAGACCTGGAGTATTTTCGATCCCCTCTGAGTGCTGGAACACTATCCAACAATTAAACCGCAACCCAAAAACAATCAAACATCTGTTTGGAGGCAGGCTGCTCAGTGACTGACATTCTCCTGCCAGCATAAACACTATAGCTGCTGAGTGATTCCTGTCTTTTGTGTGTGTGTGTATACATATGCACTGCTTGTGTGTTTTTTTGTTCCTGCATGCAGTATGTGTAAATATGCTTCAGAGCATTTTTATTGCAATGTATGGACATAACCGTATAGCTTATTTGTGGAAGTATTTTCATTGGCATAAGCACATACATTTGAGTGTCAGCTTGAGATTTGGTTATTTGTGTGCTGGAGGTGGCTTTGCAGGAAGCAAATGTGAATGTGGACTGAGAGTCTGGAATCAGGTATGTGTTTATACAGTGCTGGGTGTACTGGTGTGTGTTCATTTGCAGACATCAGCTTGTTTTCATCCGGGCAAAAACAGCATTGCAACTGCATGAAGTTTTACATAGAAGATTTTAGGGTGTTTGCATGTGTGTGCGCATGTAGAGCCGTCCACATTAAGGTGTTTGTGCTTTCTGATGGATGTTTTTTCTACACCCTACCTCCATGAACGCATCAGCTATTTGGGCCCAGAAAGGGAGATAACAGACTGCTGGAAACCGTTCAGATTTGGGTTCAAAAGAACAGCTAGGTCTGGCCCTGATGAAATTTCAGCCTCCTAAAACCCCTGATTACAAGAACTCTCTCGCCTGGGACCATGGCAGTGCATCCAAAGATGATTTGTCTCCAGGGCTTTGGGGTGATGAAGGGATGGGGTGATGAATACTGATGTTAGGTCTGGCTGCCTAGAGGCCAAATTAGTCTCTTTCCTAAAAGCACTTTACAGACTCCATGCAGGTAGCTGCTTTTGTCCTCTTTTATTTATAGACTTCAAATAACCGTGGGCTGTTGATGGCCTGGATAAAGCAGTATGCAAATGACATTCGTTCCCAACAGGAACTCCCTCCCTATAAAACTAAGACCAGCTTTCAGGAAACACAATTGTTCCCAATCCAAGCCAAATGACAGCTTGTGCTGCTCCTACCAGTTCTCCCTGAACCCCCAAGGTCTAGAGACTGCTGCTTGCCATTTGTGGTGTCTTTATACACCTAGCAATATGTGAGTCACCACAGCAGGTGCTAGCCATAGCCTGCTCACTTGAAAACATCAGTATCAAAAGTGACAGAATCTGGGCCACCCACTGGCTGTATTTCTGGAGCATCCCTCTGTCTAGGAGAGAGCAGCTGGAGCTTTTTGCTTTAGAGCATTTCTCAAATATCCTATTGCTGGCATATAAGAACACGCCAGCAAAGGAAAGAAAGATTCGATGATCTTTCCACTGTGAGCCCCACACTTAACTTATTGTTGTAATCACCTCATCTTGTGTACCAGCCTTGTTTTTCTTCTTGTTAGATAAGCTCAGACAGTGTACTAGATAATAGATTTGCCTCGGAAATCATAGGAGGTTCTATTGTTTAGCAGTTAGGGCAGAGTGTGGACCACAGAGCATATTAGAAAAGCACAGAGAATCAGCATTCTGCTGCCCAGGTGCTACAGAACATGAACAACACAAACATGAACAACACAAACAGAAAGCTCTGCCCACAGCAGGATGCAGCGTCAAGAGGTTCCAAGATCTGCCTCTGCCTCCGCAATGACCTCCACACTTTATTTAAGGTTCTCTTCCTCTTTCTATTATGGAGCTTGTGGCTGGTTACAGTCTGGGACTGCACCCCTATTTACGGCCCGAAAAAGTGGTGTGGTGGCTGAACTGGGAAGCTCCTGTAGGCAGTCGGTCAACTGCAGTAACTGGCTCTGTCCGTTCAAGTTCTGTGAGCCCCAGAGAAAAAAAAAAAAAAAAAGTGCTTTGGCAGGTCTGGCACTGATGGCATGGGATGGAGGAGGGTGAAGTGTTTCCTCCACTTCCCTCACACTGGCTGCTCCAGTGTTCTTCCAGAATGAGCTACTGAAACTGCAATGTAGAGACTGCATGGCACAATGTTCAGGGACTAAGGTAACTCCTGACAGTACTCATTTCCTACTTCATCACAAATTTTTGTCCTTTACTTGCATGTAGGAGAAGTAACAGCCTTTCATTCTGACTACAAGAATCACAAAGGAAATGCAGTGGATGGGCTGAATTTGGAATGATGCTCTTGTGCAGTTATACTACGCAGCTACTTCTCAGAAGTCTTGCCAGTGGCTTGCACGATCTGTGTGCTACTGAGTGAATGGATAATGGCTCTCAACCCTACATAATGGAAAGCATTTTTAATAATGGTTTAATAATGACTGGCTGGGTTAGAAAGGGGTCCACTGGAAATGGCAGATAGTGAGATATTTTCCTTATAGGTTAAGAAGTCCTAGAATCAACTTCACAAATACCTGTTACATCTTTGACTTCCCAAAGCATAGCCTAGGAATAGCTAAACTCCCCGTTTAATGAAAGGACTGTATGCGGACGTTGGGCAGAACTGGTTCTACAGAAAATGTAGGATAAAGAAAGACCCATTGTTGAGTTTATTCAGGACCTATTCCATTTACATACATTGGTATGCTACATTGTATTTGTTGTTGTGGCTTATGCATATTTCATTAGAGTAAAGGAGGAGTTTAGGTGTCAATCTGTTAACTATCACTGCTGCTAATATTATTTAGATATGCCCTGGGTTCATATTAGAAAACATGTAGAAAATTTGCAAGAACAGAAAGTCTTCTCATTCATGGATTTCTTCCAGCTCTGCTCATCCCTTTTACACTTTCCAGTCCCGTTCTAATTTATAAGCACTGGTGAAAATCAGAACATTCCTGGTTCCTGCTCCTTCAGTACCATTAGCTGCAGTCCTGTTAATCTGTCCTCTAATGTTCATAGCACATGAATATCTCAGAATCATTGCCACTTTGTAGGCTTACTTCTATGCTAAATTTAAAACACAGCAAATATGTTGTGTCCTCTCTCCCATTCTGTACAAAGACCCTATAGTAATTCCAGAAACAGCTACCATCTGACTCCAATGCTTGTTGCCATGTCATCCTTAACCTGAATCCAATTTTACCCACAAAACCTGTTGAAACAGCTACCCATCATGACTTATGAGCGTGTTTGGGACAGAAGCTGTACGCTAGCAAATCTGCACAGTGCTCTAAGGAGCACCCTGAGTTTCTGTTACTGACATCCTCTTGTAATTCTCTGCTTAGGAGGAGGAAATTTTCTGTCCTAGTAGGACTGGGAGGAGGTGTTATGTTCTTAAGCCACACATTGTGTGAGATACGTCCATTTGCTGGGGGACAACAGAAAGACTGCTCTGTAATGTGCACTGTAATTTCCACTCCTGCTTTTTTCTAACACAAGATCTCTCAATAGGGTATAACACGATGATCATGACAAAAGGCCCTTCGTCAACATTAGCAGCTGCTCAATTTTTATCTCTTGTTTTCCCACAAACTCCATCTCCAGAAAAATACGAAGTGCACCTTAAAGAAGCTCTCAGCTGTCTACTACTTTGTTCATTTCCAAAACAAATGTGAAATACATTTTGGTCTCTCCTCTGTTTCTATCTTGTCTGTCTCTAATTTGTGACTAATTTATGATTCTGAAAACTTGAACTGTTTCCTTAAAATTTATTCTTTATTTGTTGTAGGAGTTTTGAGTGATATCTGAAGCTCTTTTGCTTTGTGGATTAGCACATTTACCCTCCCACTACTTAGTCCAACTCTGAGGAAGTCCAAGACTAATTTTTGGCTCATTATTCAGTTGACCAATAAATAATGTGAGGGATGTGAAAAGAAGCAGTAAGATATAAAGCTAATAAGTGTGTAAAAAAAAAAAATAAAATAAAAAAAGAAAGAAAAAAAAAAGCAGAGTATTGCTCAGCGAAGATCTAACAGGATGCATTAAGGAGCAACAAAATGAAACAAAGAAATATGAAATCTCAGCATGACTACTAGGAGCAATGTAGCTGAAGACAGTAAAATAATCTCCCAATAGACAGAGCAAAGAATTAGTCACTTGAACAACTACAGACAAACTAATAAATGCTAGAAAGCTTTCAGTCAATAAACTGGATTAAAACTCTGACATTTCTGAGAATAAAATATATAAAAGAGCACAACTCTCTTTGAGAAGGTGGAGGTTATTCAGATCTGGAAAGGTATTTGCTGTGCAAGGTCTCATGTAGGCTGACAACAGCTTCCTGCAGTCTGTCCTGGGGGGAAAGGGGGTGCTAAATCCTCACATCTGCCATCCCAGTGCACAGCTGTGAGTTGTGCAGGGAGAACCATCCCTGCTTGCCCAGCTGCCCTTCCATTCACTGTCACTCAGCAAGTAACTATTTCACAGGCCTTACTGAAAACAAAAGGACCTTTCAGGAATGAAATCAAATCTCGCCTCAGATAGGAAGGCAGCTGGGAGACACATGAAAGCTTCTGCTTGCTGTCTCTTACTTGTCTCATGAGGTTCGGATCCAAAGCATCCCAGCAAACCACCCACAGCCCCTTCAGGAAGGTCAGTGCTGGAAGGAGGATTCTGAATGCTTGGTACCCTGCAGAGAGGTCTACAGCCAGACAGATAAATAGCTCACTAACCAGTTAGATGAGAAATAGTAGACATGGAAATAGAATACAAAAAGAAAAAAAAAAAAAAAGAAAAAAAAAGAAAAGAAAAAAAAAAAAAAAAGATCAAAAACGAGCATTGCATTTCACCATGGATTTTTTTTTCCTCCCAAAAGAAGATCCTGTGCTTTATAAACCTGAGGATTCATTTCTCCCATTGCTGATAGTTTTGTCACTTTGGGGGCAGAAGGCAGCAGCTTTTAACACCACTCAGTTATGTTACATATCCCACAAATATTTTAGGGCACTTTCTAACTTTGGGGGAAAGAGTATCACCTGTTAAAACAGCATCATTATCAATAATCTCTGCAGTCTCCCTTGAAGGCTGTTTTCTCATCTGAGAACTGATGAGGTCCAACACTGTTTTAGCTCTCTAATTATTTTAATTTCAAGACATTAGTGCTGCTGATTAGGAAATACATTGCACCCAGAAAATGGATGGCTTTCATTCCTAAGGGTATGTCAATGCTGCAAAACAGCTCGCTTGCAGCTCACTGTGCAAGCACAGCATTGAGAAGTCAAGAAAATTAACCCATGTGGAGCTCCCTGGTAACGTGCCCAGATGCCTTCTGATACTTAAAGTCACTTATTTACAAGCACATTCAGTATTTATACTTCACTGCAGTCTGGAACATGAGTTATTCTGAGAAAACCAAGAGTGGGAGAAGAGCTGCAGTTCAGACAAAAGTACAGTCAATAAAAAGGCTGCTTCTTTTTGACTTCAAGAGAATATACAGACTGCTCTTTAGAATGGTGCAAAACCAGGTATGTGTACTGTTTTGTTGGGGATTGGCCAGTTTGTGATCTCTTTTTCTTTTTGCTTGAAGTACACAGAGCTGTTTCCAAGCACAGGGAGCTTGTTTTTCATGTAGCAGCACACAATGCATACTTGCCTAGCCTATAGATTAACCATGTGCTACTTTCCCCTACTGCTATTTCTTCACCTCATCCTTGTTCTTGCTGCCCAGCTTGCAGGGAATTGCCTGGCAGAGTGCAGGTGGAAATTACTTGTGGACATGAGGGGCAGGCCAGGAACAGGAGAGCTCTCTTGCACCACGTGCAAATGTCATGGCTGTCCCAAAGAAACTGTGCTTCTCTTCATAGCAAAAAGCAACATATACACTCTTCAGTTTAAAATATCTTATTTCGACTAAGAAAAATAATGTCAAGAAAGACACAAAGGCTCCAGAGAGATGCCAGTAACACTTTGTAGGCTAGAGACCATTCTCTTTTATAGGAATATACAGCAACTTATGGAAGTGAACCTATTGCCCACAAGAACAGCATTCAGCTGTGCTGTATGGAAAACAAAAGGCAGACCGTGTCCGTGGCCCCTTACAAACAGCTCTTGACTGAGATCATTGTGGGCAGTGATAAATGAAAAGAACAGAAATTCTCCAGTTGAGTGCTGACAAGTAGGCTGTGTTTGACAGTGAAGAGATAACAAATAATGCACATTTCAGACATGTGATATGCCTGGTGCTGTCCTTGTATGGCACTGTCAAGGATATTGGACCAAATTCCAAATCGCCATTGACATGGTTTCTCTGCTCAGATTATGCTGCCCATAGTTACTAAAGCATTTTTCAAGGTTTATCCTGTGTGATGACAATTGTGAATTCACATGTTTGTATTGTCTTCCTGTCTTCTACCACATCGATTCCCAGCTCCTGTATTCATCCTAAATGCTATCCTATTCCCCTCACCCAGTTCCTCTGTTTTCCACTTTGGACTACAAATAAGAGTCTGTTTACTACAAACATGCCTGCTCTGAGTACTTACTTGTATGACAAATAATACACATTTCTAAGTCCTTTTGTCTTTCTCATCTTTCATTTCTCAATTTCTCATTTCAGTTTTGACTTGCTCTTCTGTATTGAACAGATTCTTATTCTCAACTCTTGAATAACACTTCTGAAAAAGCTTCTTGTTTGTATAAATGCTACCTGAGCTAGTGTACTATGCATCCTTGTAATACCTTTATGTTTTCTTGCAGACTGAGGATAACATTTTTACTACTGATAATGGAGACAAGACTTCTTTAATTCATGAGGTAAGGATTTAGGTTCTAACCTCTGAAGCTCAAGAGCTCAATCCCATTTATGACCCAAGGGAGGAGCTGTTATACAGGATCCCATCACTAATTTCCATCATGCTAGCACTGCCTTCTCATCATCAAGTATTTGAATTGTTAACCCATAGGTCACATTTCCCCGTCCTAGAGAACTCACAGTTTCTCACATTAGAGAAAAATAACTAAATAAAAGCCCACTTCTTAAACATTTCTTTGAAATGGGTAGAAAAAAAGTATTACAATGTGTGATTTGAATCTTTGTACTGTCTGCTGAAGGTCTCATGCTGCTAGAAACACACAAACAAAAAATAATTCCTGTTTACAAATGATGCCATTCATTTTCTACCTCAAAGACTTTTGTACCTGACATAGTGGAATTCTGACAATCAAAAAGGAATATATTTAATTAAAATGCAGTGGTGTTTGCATGTTATTTTTGTTTTTTGAAAATCAAGGCTGAATCAGTAATACACATGCTCACTCCTTTAAAGTAGACATTTTCACTATGACAAAAACAACTGAAACAGCTTGGAAGAAATATCTTGAGAGAAAGATGTGAATAATAATTGCAAACTATGTAAAATCATTTACTTATTGGGGAAATATCTCACTAATGGTAAAGATAAATAAGTTAGTTAAAATAGATCTAAGATAAAATTTTATAAAACACAAGGGAAGAAAAAGCAGTCATATAACTAATACTACAAAAAACATCTGTGATATAAGAGAAACTGATAGCAACAACTATAAATTAGAGTAAGAAAGTATTGAGGGTTTATAATAGAAACAAAAAGGTACAAAGAAAATAACAAACAGTACTTATCACCTGTAACAAAGCAAGCAAAAAAAATTGCTCTGTAGGGCTGATACAGAAAATGCATTTTTCATAGCATTCAAATATAAGCTTATATATTTGGAGATAATGAGAAATAGCTCAAGATGAACTCTTAATGCAATATTATATTCTGCTGCCAGCAACACTACTGGATCTGAGGCTGGAAAGAATAGAGAGAAATTACACAACAGATCACAGTAGAAGATGACAAGTCTTTTCGGGTCTTAAAATTCATATATCTATTAATTACTAGGTAGCTAGCCTGACTGTGCTGCTGCTAGCAAAAGTGCAGCTGCATCATTATAGGAAAATGGGACAGGCTATGTATACAAATAGGGCTAGAGTTCAAGCATGCCTGCCCAAATCCTCTCTGCTACTCCGTTTAGTGCATTCTTTAGCCTTTATCATTCAAAGGACTGCATTAAAATCTGCTGAGCTTCACTGTGTTCTCGATCAGTGTTAATGCACGTCTGAATCCTCTGAGCTGGAGAGCTACTACTTAAAGCCGGTTTCAAGCATTAGCAGATTATTTAAAAATGCCTTTGGATGAAGATGAAACAGCTCAGATGGTGTGTGATAAGAAACAATATATACCTAGGAAAGCTGCTGAGAGCTAAATGGTTGGACTTGGGGAATGGTTCTTTCACTGGGACTCTACTTGCAAGGGAACTCGTATCAGATCATCTCTTGTCTTCATTTACAAATGGTGAGGATTTAACCTCTCCTCACCACTCCTTCCAGTGCTTTCACCTTTTGGGAACCTGCTGGGCTATCTCTCCAGTGCTAGCAGAGTTGGTGGAAGACTTCAGACGTTGTTGGCAATGGGGTGAGGTGATGTCTGAGTAATGTCCATGGACCTTCTTACCCTCCCTACCAGCTGCTTGGAGGCTAGGAGTAATAGGCCTGTAGACAAGGAAATTCAAATAAGCTTCTATCACTTCTCTGATCTTTTTTTTTTTTCTTGAAAAAATAAGCTAGACTCTATCAGCTTCCCAATATGGTACAAGACATTATTCTGAAAGATGACCAATACAGCTTCAGTTTATGTTAATTTTGGTTCCCTGAAGTCAAAACTGGGGTTGCCCTGCTCGCCTTACTTAGGCACCACAGGCCTGAGCCCCTTCTGGCAGGGCCAGGGCCTCCGTTGGTTGTAGCTAGCATGGCTAGCTCCTGCCTTGCCTCCCTCGGGGAGCAGCCAGCCACTGCTTCGCTGGCCACAAAGGTGCTGCAGTAACAGCACAGGGACCGTCCAGTGACACCTCAGCCAATACTGCTCCTGTGAGAGTTCTCCATATTTGAAATTGAGAATTTGGCAATTAAGGCCCTAATACTGATTTCATGCTTTTCCCCCACCATACAAATACCTCAGCTTAAGTACATCACTATCTTTTCATACCATGCCTGAAACGTTACTTGCTGTAGTAAGCCCACTCACAAGAACACCTCTCTCCTGCATTGCTCACGGTTGTATTATGGTTGATACGAGCATTACAAAAGCCCTTGAAAACCGTCTTGACTATAAGACAGAAATTAACTTTGCATTTTATTCCTTTGGCTTCAGTTCACTCAATAGAAGAAGTTCAAAACTATAATTTATCTCTGTTCTTCTCAAGCAAGAATGAGACATATGAGAAGGTGGTTACTTGATAGGTGAGGAAGAACTAGAAAGTGATACGGCTCAACAACGAGGCCATACTGGATCTCAGATATCCTTCTGACCAAATGATTAAACATGATTTCAGTTGCTCTCATTTATTCATCTCCTGAAATAATTCTGGTATTGTCACTAGATGGAGATTTGCCTTTGTGACTTGCAAACGATGAGTGCTGAGGTGGGGTTTGGACAGTGGGATATGACCAACAGGTGAAACCAGAAAGACCTACACATTTCTCAAGGGATTGCAATGGAAGTGGAGAAGGCAGACGTAAAGTGAAATTCCTTCAAACCTGTAAAACAGAAGCAAATCCCATTATTTCCAGAAACTTGTTTTAATACCCTTTCTTTATAGGAGATTAAAAAACTCTCTTAGAAGACCTGATTTTTATTTTATTATTATTATTATTATTATTATTATTATTATTATTATTATTATTATTATTATTATTATTATTATTATTATTATTTATTTAGCCTTTTGAAAAGCAGCAAACTTCTCAAATCGCAATAACTCAAAATTTTTTAGCTTAATTTACAGAGCAAAATTGGCCTTCACAAGACCAGGGCTTTATGCCTTGCCTGCACTTTGCTCCTTTGGGCTTGATGCTATGCTAATTAAACAAGACATTGGTCATGTTTTAACACACCATCTTACGGTTTTTTATTTTGCTTTCAGCTTTTTGAAAGGTTTCCAAGAATACCAGGCAAGGAAATGAAATCTGCATCCCAAGGAAATGATCCCTTTCCAAAATTGTTAATCTTTCCTTATGACATGTTTTGGAATACAAATGTATCCAGAGGGGGTTTATTCAGCAATATGTTGTGTTCATGTAAGTGATCAAATTGGGGTTTATTATAGTGGTACATATGTTAACAATAACTCAAACTTTTATTCACCCTGTTTCACCACCACAGCTGCTCTTGGTTTTTCTTACAGCCCCACCCAGTGACACTTGGAACACAAGCAGATACACGTATGTATTACAGGGAGTGATGTTTTACATTGTTATTAGAGAACTCGGCTTCCTTCAGCATGCAACGTTATCATAACAAACTCATGACTACATACTTCAACTGTCACTATATTGCATTCCATTTCTGCTGAAATCAGCAGAATTAGAAACCAGATCTGGTTCCTACATTCACTTCTGATGAATTTTTGCAGTACAGGGACTGAAGGCAATTACAGGGCGTCTGGATGTGCCAGATTCAATCCATTTGGAGGTCTGTCCCCTCAGCACATTCAGCGAAGCTATTTAAGGGTTCTGTGTAATGGGACGTACAAGTAAATAAAGACAACGAGAACTTAATATTAAATTCAGTAAGCGGCTCGTAAGTGATGAGTGTTTTCTCCAAAAAGAAAAAATGTTGTGGATGAGAAACAGAGAGGGAGATGCTATGCATCTGAGTGTATGCAGTGAGAAATTCTCAATTTCCCAGAGCGCTCCTTAATAGAGTGTCCCCAGAAGGAAGTGAAATATAAGCCTGACCTACGTTTCCAAAAATGAGTAGCAATTCTGGTTGTTCAGGTAAAGACAATTCTGCATCATAAAACTCAAGCATCTTAAAGTCTCTTAAGACAGGCATAAAAAAATGTAACCATTAACCACCACAAGTTCTGAAAACACAGAATTTCCTCTTATTTTGAGCAAAAAGTAACAAGAGTTGTTGTTGTTGTTGTTGTTGTTAATATTATTATTATTATTATTATTATTTAACTTGAAACAATGCTTAGAAACAGCAGGTCTTAAATCAAGAACCAAATGGGGAAAGTTAAAAATTCCCTAACACCAGGCTTGGGCAGTATGAATTCTGAGAAAATTACTAATTTTTCTTTTATGCCCTGAACCCAGAACAAAAGACATTTTACACCAGAATCCTAACTTTGCTGATGGCTGGGTCGCAGACAGTTCAAAAGAAACTTCTAAAACAAAATTTACTAGAAAGCCAATGCTCTAAATAAAGTAAGAGGAAAGGAAACGTGTCATGAAGGATATAAACAACCTTCTTCAAACACAGATCTTAAACAACAAGCTCTTGAACATGCACGAAACCTGAAGTCCCAAATGAAACAGCCTGCTTTTCTTTTGCAATAAAAAGTGGCATCAAGCTGAACAACATTTGCAGACCTTAATAATAAACATCGATCTAGACCATCTCAAACCCTTACAAACAAGGGTTGGTAAGTGAGCGTGCTGCTAGTGAAAACCAGAGGATGCATCACTGCAGTTACCCATGGGGATAACCAGAGGATATTTCAAATGGGGTAGAGACCATCTTTCTTCTTGAGAAGGAAAGGTTAAAGAAACCACAGCGAGAGGTGTTGAGCAAGGAAACTCCCATGTTCTCCATACCTGGACATGAACAGTGCAAGGATGACGCTCAGGACAGAGCAGATTCTTTCTCGTTTTTTGTAAGTGTTTAGAAAATACTTGGGATACTTTGGAAATAGTTGGGTTGTGTGCAAATAAACAATGGCAAGAGTAAAACAGTGTGCTGTTTATACATCTGCACACAGACATGAATTTTATATCCATGTCAGTTTAAGAAGGATATGAAATGCCTTCATTCTAAAAGAGTAAGAAAAAGTCTTTCAAGATATCTTGAAGGAGACAAATACCGACTGTGTGCTTGGAAAGGTACATTGCTCTCATTTCTTCGGCAAATACTTCTAAGCAAATAGTACTCCAACAAAACCTCATTTTACCATGTTCAGCATTCAGTTTGTTCTTTGTATTATGTTGAAATGTAAGAAAATTGTTTCTTATATTGCAATTTAGCAAATTTTAGCAAAAAAAAAAAATTAGAAAAGAAAAAAAAAAAGACAATAGGCCCGGATCTCACTCGAGGTCCTAGGCTATTACAAGAAAACAATGCAACAAAACCAATTACACCAGTTCTGGTGCTGGCATTTTGCTTTTCAGTTCATAGGACAAATAATCTCAATTATTGAGAGGTAAATCAGGCATGAGCTTGTTTACTACCCATCATAACAGCCCAGGAATCTATTTATAGTCTATATCCCATGGTTACTTGCCCATATAGTCAGACCTTTGCTGTTATAGAAGGCAGCAACATCTGTGGAGCCATGGAGGATATTTAATGTTTGTTTCATTTCTTCCAACTTCAGTATTCTCAAAATAAAAATGAATTACACACTCAAATAGTCAACTGTGCATTTCCTTAAGTCATCCTACAGACAATAATTCCATGAATAAAAAAAAAAAAGAGGACTAATTAGACTTGAACTATAATTGCTTTGGCAAAGGCAGATCGCTCGTATCACCACAGACAGGAGGCAAAGATTTCTGAGTAACCACCAGGGCAGTATTACTGCAGCCATGCTCCTTAACCAGCAAAGAACATCTTGCCTTGCTAGCTTAGCCATTCAGGCTGTCCTGTGCTGTCCCAAAGACCAGATTTGCAAATGCAGACTCAGACAAGAAGCCTTCATTCATGTGGGTAACTGCATATGAGTAGGACTAGTTCCTGATAAATCTCTATTCCTAGTCTGCTTCTTATCTAGCTCATGACTGTATGCCAAACCGACCTCGCAGAACTTCATTTCACAGCATGTTCTCCATTTCTGTGTACACAATTTCAATTTACATGTGCATTAGCACAGCAGCACCATCAACATTGCGATGGTAAAAATCAAATATGTTGGATTACAAAGATGACAGCAAAGACACAGAAACATGCGCTCTTTTTAAACAGGAAATACTATTGTGGAGAATAAAGCTAAACAAACGGGCTATAGATTTAGAAGGCCTCTAACAATAGAATCGGGAAAGAAATGTAAAGTTTCAAAATACAATCTGAAGTGACTAAAGACAAGTCCAGGGAGACTCCCTGCTATACTCATTTCATAAAACATAACTTTCCTAGAAGCAGAATAAGAGTGGCATTCCAACTGGGCTTCTTACCGATAGCAAAGCAAAGGCTTCTATTAAATTAGATAGGGGCTTCTTAAAAATACTTTTGTACAAATTAAAGTTAAAATGAAGCTAAAAATAATAAACTAAAAGTGTGCAACTTAAAAAAAGGCATACCGTGGATGTTTTACAAACCAGATTATTCCCCAAATGGTGTAATTATTCTAATGAATTTGCCTCCAGAATAAATGGTGGCTCAGTAGGAACTAGTGAAGCATATTATTGTGAAAAAGGTGTTTTGCAAGTATGATTGAAACTTCATGATGCCAGCCATACAAGATTTTGTAGGTACACAGAAGGACTGTATCATTGCACTGCCAAGTTGCTGTCCAGGCCAATTACACATGCATGTGTGCTGCTGGTTGCTGGAGATGAACACCACCGCAGGAGGCAGGATACATTGGCAGACAGAGGCCAAGCAAATTTCCATTTGCATAAACCCACGTACAATGCAAGAAAAATTAATGGACAGCAACAACAGCTTTTTACACATTGTGTGCACAAGACCATGCATCTAAACACAGCTTTTCACGGAGAACTATAAAATGAATGGGGTGGTAACAGGAATATTTGGGCAGAGGGTAAGCACAACTAGGTTCTGACTTGGTAGTCAAATCTTTTAGCTCATGTAAGCAACAAAGTACATGGGCAGCAATACTCTATACTCACCTAGCATACTGATGTATGTACTTCAGTGAAGTCCAATCCTTCACAAACACCAAGTCTATCATCCCAACATGATTATTCTCTACCTATAAATTAGTATGACTGGAAAATGGCAAGTGACAAATTACCAGCTTTTTAATTCAATCTGATGGAAGGATCTGTCTTGTCCAGATTCTCATCCTTGTAATGTTAGCTATGGGTGCTGTGACAGAGTACAGTGGAAGAAGTAGAAAGCACCTTTTCCAGTGACGAAATCCTGAATATTAGTCTGAAATTATGAGCAGAGTTTGCTAAAATATGAAGCAAGCTCATTTGAAGTATTTCCATAATGATCTACATCAAGCATGTAGCATGTCTAATAACATTTGATGAGCCACAAAAGGAACCAATAGCTGCTAAAGCCCAGAGACAAGAGTCCCACCGAGTCTGAACAAAATCATTACAAATGAGTAGAGCAATGTTTGTGCTAGAGGAAAGGATGGAATTTGTTAGAAGTACAATGGCAGCTCATATTCCTGACAGTGAATAACTAGTAAAATGGGAGGTTTGTTTGTTTGCTAGAAAGATCTTACAGCAAAATAAATATTGAAAATTGAGAAATAGCTTGCAGTGATGAACTCTGGTAAATCCAACCTCTTTTACAAGGGAATACCAAAGCAGATTTTAAACATTTGGCTGTTTATCAGAAGCCAGAGGAAGATTAACTATGTGAGTGAAAAATGGGGCCAAGAAACTGAAAACAGCTTTTCACAACTAAGGAAAGCCAAGGAGGAACTTAGTCTAAAAAGCATTTGGAAAGAAATGTTAAGATCACTTCACTTGTAATAAATGGATCATTGAATCAAGAGGATTTTGAATTCCTTACGGAGCTGTGTAGGAACCATAGGATTGAGAAAGAGAGAGAGCATCAAAGCACTAACAGCATCAGGCCCGTCAGAGCAGGTACACGCAGAAACCATAACAAGTGCACCAGTACTCCCACTGGTACTATGGCTTGTGCTTGCTCGCAGACAGTACAGAGGTGTGAGATGGCTTATAGAAAAGTCACCAAAATGGAGCACCTGACCAACATTCCCAACCTCCTTGTACAATCCGGCAAACCTGTACTTAAGTTCCTAACTTTGGAAATAAATTTCTCTGAAGCACAGCACCAGCTCTGCTACTGACTCCCTCTGCAGCCTTGGACACACCACGTTCATCTCTGCTGCTGCTTCCATTATTATAAAAGCTACAGAATATTCCTCTGTAAGGACTCCTACAACTTTTATGTGCCAACCACAAAGAGGGCAAAATTGCAACAAAACTGAGTCATGGGTAGCAAAAAATTTCTGCTTGGAAAGCACAGAGTAGAGGATGGCACCAAAAGGTAGCATGAAAGAAGATGCTATCAGGAATTAGTACAGCATGTTTCACTCTAAAAATAGCAAGAGAATAGCTACTACTAATGGAACATGGGCTTCCCTATAGAAGGGCATGCTTGGAGAGTGTCTTTAGACTTCACTCCAGGCCCAGGAACTTCTCTAAAATGAGCACTGGCAGCTGCCCTGCTGGGGGATGGACAGCTGCTATACCTTGGGCATTGTGCAAACCTGACAGAAACATAAATTATTATTAGTCTGAACAGAATAGGTTATTGCCATAAAAAATGACACAATTATCATTTCCTTGACCATTTGATGAGAGTATTTTAATATCTTTAAGATGTTTTGTAAGCTACGTGTAAATAGTTTGAAAAATCATTTAAAAATATACCCTGCTGCTCAATCGTGGTTGCAGAATCTCACTGGAAATTGCCTTCCCTAGCCTGGGGTTCTGTTGAAGTGCCAATAAATAAAGGTTACTAGTAAAACCTTGAATTTGCTGTGTTCAGCTACTCCTAAAGAATGCAAAGTTTTTCTGTGGAGTAAGACTAGTCACTACACAGATTTTAGGCACGCTTTCTCACATATTAGGAAAAAAGAGGGAGAAGGGAAACAAAGCCAAAACCTCTGACGTTTTTTGTTTTTTGTTTTTTGTTTTTTTTTTTTTTTCTGGCTGATCTCAAACTGTAAGAATTCCCCAATCACAAAAAAGCTCTGCTCTAGCTAAGGAAACGATGTTGATTAGAAAAAAAAAGTTCCAGATGTTAACTGAAAGCGATTTCAAGAAGGGAAAGGGGGAAAGAGAAGGCATGCGAGGTGACCCCACCCTAGGCAGGAAACACAGTGAGAGCATTGCACCCTCTGTGCTGGGATGCAGCCAAGTGCTCCCCAGCTCTCACACTCACACTGGGCTGTTCTCCTTCCCCCTCCAGGCAGATGCTAGAGCTCTTCCAGTTTAACCCCATGAATTCTTTGTATCCTTTCTGATTCACATTACTGAAAAAACACATAAAAATCAGAAGTAAAGTTACAGTGGGAAGATTTTTGTTTGGTTTTGATTTCTTCTTCCAGAAGCAGCAGAACAACGTGCTTGCATTCACAATTTCCATGCACTTCCTTCTTTTCACCCTTCTTTGGGCTGGGTCTCTGTCGGGGACAGTGAGGTATCTCAAAAGGCACAAAGAGGGTTAAAATAAAAAGGGTTTGCAGAGAAGATACTGCTGCTATAGTGAAGACAAATGTCTTGGTTCATTGTAAAGTTATTTAACTCTTTGTGGGCTTTGGAAAATGTCCAAAGTAAACAAGCTGTTCATTCCTCGGGGGATCAGCTACCAGTGCTCACTCAGAGAAGGCTCTTCTATTAAATTTGTACTTTAGCACCGATCAGAATAATGCTACTTATATTAAATATTTAGGAAAAGAAAATGAAATGGAAAAATATTAAAGCACTGTAGCCCCCAAAGCCCCTCTATTTGATAAAGGTATGATACCTTCCTGTACGGAGGAAAAGTAGTAGTCATCTCAGTAAGGCTGGGCAATCAGTGCCTAGAAAGTGGTTTTTCTGAACCAAGGCTTCTGTTATTTGTTTTTTTTCCCTGGACTGACGAATGACTCAGAAGTATGAGAATGAGTCCCTGGCTTGGTTATCCTCCAAACCTGAGCATGGCTAAACCACGATATCTGATGCATGACAGAACTTGACATAGCCAGGACTGGCCATGTATTAAACAGATGCTCTAGCCCGGCCTTCTTCCTGAAGTAGAGAACATACACTACACCACAGTGTACTTTTAAATTAATATCTGCTGTATCAACTCTTTCCGATATTTTTGCTTTGATGTCTGAGGAACTCAGGGTGAGAAAACTAACAGTAGACAAGTAGGCAATTTTCAAGAAATGAGATAGCCTTTTGCCACTGAGAATTGTCTTTTCTTCTTATTGAAAAAATGTTCATTATGGGAAAACCTGTTCTGTGTTGCAGAGACTATTGCACTGATGTTAAGCTCAACCAGAAGCTCCTGAGGCAAGTTCTCACCTACTTATTTACTATTTCACAACACCCTGTAGAAGGTTTTTTTTAAACAATGAAATTCTCTTTCCAATAGACTATGAGAATTATATGACATTATTACATAAATCCCTCTCAAAACCTTCTAAAACTGATAATTTAGTACTTCAGAAGGGCTGCTTGATGAGACTGTGAATGATTTTTAATGAGACATGTTTACTTACGTACAGCCTTGTGCTCTGCAAAGTGCTTAAGTATATTACAGTGGAGGCACATTTTAGACTAGGACTTAGCCACAACATTTTTCAGAAAGACAGTTAAAAAGGATCCAAGTTTTGGAATTATCTGTCTTAAATCTGGATAACTGTCTATTTTTCCAAGAGAAAATTCAATGTTTTTTCCAAACTTGGTCTCTTTCTGACAATCACGAAGTCATAGGAGCATTGTAGGTGGGAAAGACCTCTGGAGAGCTCCAACTTCCCTGCTCAGAGCAGGTCAGACAGGACAGGTGCCTCAGCGCCTTGTCCAGTCACAGTTTCAGTACCTCCAAGTTCAGAGACTTTATAAACTGTCCTACTGTTCAATGACTCAATAAAGATACAGGAAATTCTACTTAAACATAAGAATAAAGTATTTCCAGTTTGTGTCTGTTGCCTCTCAAAAGCGTAAGCTGTTTTTTTCCTATTTGAAAAATTCTGACAGATGAGCCCTACATTCACAGAAGCGACACAGAGATCCCTAGGAAGGAAATTAGCATACCCTATGGAGAAGGCATTTCTGCCCTGCTCGCAGAAGATGTGAAAATTAACATATGGCTGCAGACTGAAGCAAGAGAATTCATAGGCCCATTTTCTCTAAATCACAAAACCCAGCTCCTCCATGCCTTACAGAAATCTGCTGCACTGGAGTCTTCTCCCACAGTCTGTTTGTTACTAACGTACAATCACTACACTAGAACCAAGCTCTGAAGAAATGCTCTTGTTCTGTATATTTGTGTGGAAAGCTGCCACGTGCTGCTAAGTCTGACTGAAGAAGGACGCCTGGGTGTTTGCACTGCGATCCTTTGTGGGCCTCCTCTCATGTCCCTGCTTTCCCTTCCAGCAGAGGGAAGGGCTGGGCAATGCTGCACTCTGCTCTCCGACCTCTGCACGGTCAGCACAGTACAACACAAGCATGCTTCTTAATGCTGAGACAAAGAGGGGTGTTCCAATACAAGGGAATTTAGGCAGCAGAGTGGAATATGGAGATGAAAAATTCAAGCCCTATTAAGTTATTTAATAATCCTTACAGGCAATGGTGGTAATCACCATTTTTCTGTAGCACTGCCTATCCAGGAATTTCAGTCTCCTGTACCTTCACAAAGCCCTACTGAGAAAGGTGATTGCACTGCCCTTTATCCTCTGACAGTGCTTACATACTGGAAGCTGAGGCACAAAATTCCTCATCATTCACCAGTGCGGCCAGGGTTAGAAATGAAACGAGCCTCCTGCATCAGTTGCCAGATACACTCCCTGCTGCCGTGACTGTCACTCAAGCCAGGTCAGTTTTCCATCTAACCTATTAGGGCAGATAGAACATCACATGTTCAGTGCTTAACCAAACAGCTGTCATTTCAGCTCTAGGCCACTCAGAGCTACTTGTGAAAGACCAAAAACTGTTCCTAGAAACAATTCAGTAAAGCGCCAGTAGATACGCAGAAATCGTGAGCTGAAGATACAAAGCAGGTGAAATTTACTGCTTAAATTATTAGTTGCTATTTATTTACTCATTTACTACTTTACTTCTCAAAATGAGACTACCTAGGTTTGGTTCTAAAACAAAAATAATTTATCAAACAAAAATGCCAATTGCTGTTATTATTTGCATTACAGGAATAATACGGATGCAATCTGGCCCTGTCATATAAGACTATAAAAACAGACAAGCGAAACAGACTTGCTTAGAATCACAGGAAAGGCTCTGCAGACCTTTCACAGGATACGTCCAGAACTAAACTAAACAACTCTTTGGAGAGCATACTGCAGGGAGTCATTACGAACTGGCAGAAGAGATGGACAAGATGACCTAATGTTTTTTTTCCATCTGATTTCTGTGATTCTGTAATTCCATCTTGATATGTGACCAGAAGAGTTGACAGTTACATCTGCAGTCTCTCATAAAGTTACTGACTCTGCCCACAGAATAGATTCAAATTTTTTAAGGGGAAAACATCGGATATGTATTAAAAATAGAGGGTCGGTGTCAAGTTTGGATTGAGAATTCTTTTGAAAAGCCATAAATGCTTTCATTGCATCTTCATTTCCAAAGATTGGTCTTAGCTTAAAAGCACAGTGAAGATGTGACCAGATATTATGCAGAAAGATGGCTTATTAAATAAAATTTATCACTGTTAAAAGCAACAAATAAAGGAAATAAAGGCTTTGAGAAGTTATATATATATATATATATATATATATATATATATATATATATGTATATATTTAGCATATAAAAGAAAATGTTTCTTTCCAAAGCAGAACTAGTTTCCAAAGTTTCAGAACTTTTCTGCTCCTGCAGGTGTCCTAGTGTAATATATTTTCTGAAGTGTTTTTTAAATTAAAAATAATAAAAACTCTAATGGTGGTTTCTTGGCTATGGAAATCAGAACAGTTATGAAAGAGCAATAAAGCAGCCTCTCTCTTTAAGCTGCCAACAACTCGAGGAACATGTTTGCTGGAACTCTGACCCCTTACATAGAAAACATTAAAACAACTGCAACTCGATACTATTAACTGGTATTAGATTCAAAGTTTGTGAGGCCAACTGGCTTTTATGATATATTTCTTGGTACTTACATACTAATGGAAACACTCCAAACTTTTGAAAAATATGTTCCAGATAGGCTCATTGTTAACTCATTTTTTTTAAAGCAGTTTCTTTAGCAACTGCTCTTGTCTTAACTGTCTGCAAAGAATGAAAAACAGACAGACAGCATTTCTACTGCTGTACACCCAAGAAACTTTTTCAATCTGCATACAGCTCTCTCAGAATACATTAACAACGGCAATATTCGAAGTGTTATAGATAAAGCTTTCATTTCACTTCTCAGAAATCCTAATATCACCATTGTCACATTTCCCAATCCTTCTCTTCATTTCCCAGCTTAATATTAGAAAAGGTACACAAATCTCATTCCGGAACAGAAAGCCTTCAGGAACAGCCAGTTCTAACTACTACACTTTTTCTTTAAAAGTATGATGAAAAAGGGGGACATTGTCCATAGCAGCAGCTGGGGCAGAAAGATGATGGTTAGAGATTATGAAACTCCTAACAACATAATTCTTATGCAGCACTTCCACCTGTGTTACAGAGGGGATGACTATTGGCGGGTCCTCCTATGCAACAGGCTAAAAGACTTGCATAATGGGTGTTTGCTGCTAGTTAACCAAAGAGATTCAGTAACAAATTAAATTGATTGGCTTCTAGTAGATATTCAGTGGACTACTTACACTGATTTGGAAAACTCAACCCAGCTGCTAATTAAGAGCTGTTTATACCACTCTGGCACTGGCAAGCAGTCTGGCTCAACAGCAAAACCAAAGTGAACTTTCCAAGGTGGAAATGATGAGTTTTCTCTGCTTCTGCTCTTGGAATATCTCTTGGAATAATATCCAGAGCTGCCGCTCCAGCATTGTAAGAGATAGTATGCATCATGTAACACCACTGTGCACTCCTGAAATTACAAGTTCATATGTAATTAAGACAGTTTCTATGAATAGACATATGCATTCATAATGCAATTGTTTCCTGTGCCTTCTGCTTTTTCAGACTAAGTCCATATAGTTGAAAAATGTTGATTTCTGTATTTCTATAAATATCAACATTTTTGTTTGTCATTGGTTTACTTTCATCTCAATGAAGGAGATACTTTAACAACCAAAACCTCATAGACACTACAAATTAGAAGTTCAGAAGTACTTAGGATTTATCAGAATAACTTATATAATAACTATTAATAACTAATAAGATTTATCAGAATAACTACCCACGTGGCAGATACTTCCATCACAGACAAACCCAAAGACCATTCCCTTTAAGCCCAGTTAATTTATCACATAAATCATCACATCTGCCTCTGTGACCATGATCAGAACTCAAAGTAAAACCAACCAGACCAGGATCTTCACTTACGCGTTTGGCCAACGATGCGCCTATTTATAGTGCTTCTAACAAACCATGTACCTTACCATGGCAACCCCAGCACCCATGTGCTGCCACTCTGACAAAAAGCAGTGCCTTCAAGAGAAGCACTAACCAGTATCAAATCATGCTTCTAGAACAATTTGTTTCCCAGTTTCCAAGCACATATTCCACATCCTTGATCACTATGGTACATTTTTTATTGCTTTTCTCTGTTGCGCATGTCTTATTTTTGTTTTATTCATAAAAGCTGAGATGGAGCAGAAAACAAAGGATGATGGCTTGTATTTTGCAAGCCAAGTATTCCAAATCTTAATTCATATTTGCAAATTACACATTAGAAGGCTATTTGTGCTAGGAAGCCTACTAAATGAGAGGTTATATTCTTTTAACTTTTGTGCTATAGCCTCATGTTCACTGCAGAAAAACTGAGGAAGAGTCACACTTTCCTTTGCAGATTTTATGTATCACAATGAAACTCATTGACAAAACAGTATTTTATCCTTTCATGTCCAAAGACAACAGGGAAGATCTATGGAGATTCAGAGAAAAAAAACGGTTTCACAGAAAAGATGCTGTCATTTCTTGGCTTGTATGCTCATTCTTCTCACTCCAGGATTGTAATGAAAAGAGTTGAGATTCTCCTGGTCCTAAGTTTTTCTTGGTCAAAATAGAGGATTGCCTCTGATATCACATGCTAACAACTTGCAGGAAACCTCTGATGCAGTATCAAGGGAATTTCTCTCAAGAGACATTTAAACCTAGACTTTATCCCTAAAGAAGTGTCCAAGCAGCCGATAAACTGTTACTACAGTTGCCAAATGGAAGAAAGAGGCAAAAGCCTTATTGAAATGCTATAGAAGCCATTGAACGAGAAGTCTTGCCAAAGGAAAGAAGATTTCCAGAAGCATTCTATACTTCTCTTGCAAAGGATTTCTGTGTAGATTGGATATTCATTGGTTTAATTTTCTGAAATAATTGTCATCTGAATCCTGTCCTGGTCAGTATCTTTCAGAATAAGCTGTTCACTTTCCCTCCTTCTGTGCCAGGTATATTGTATCCCATCAATCCTATCTGTTCCTACATGATGCCTTACAGTGCTCCCAAGTGTTGCCACTGCATTAAGAGTGGGAATCATCCCCTGATCAGCCCTCACACTGGGCTGATCCACTTATAGGCTATCAGGCTACTCTAAAACTAGGTGATTACTGATGAAATGAGGTCTCTTATTTAGGTATTTTCATACTCATAGAAACTATCTATCATGTAAGACAAACTAATCTGTTCCTTATGTCCCTGCTGGAGCTACAGTCAGGAAGAAAAGCCAAAATTATGTCTGGGGAAAAGTAGAGTGAGGCGAAGAATGGCTACAGAAAGCATTTCTAGTATTGAAAGAAAAATAACTATTTCAATTGACTAAGAAAACCTTAAAATAAAATATTGTTAAAAAAAAAAAAAAAAAAAAAAAAAAGAAGACATAAAACAACAACAAAATGTGAAGGGTGTTACCTGCTGTCCTTTTCAAAGACTGAAGAAGCAGATGGGATCCAAGTAATCAGAATTCTAAATATATTAGAACTGGTCACCACGGTAGTTATGGGGTAAATTTTATATATCTGTAATAAAATAGGGACATTCCTCTACAAATGTTTGGTTTGAAAGAGTAATAATCAACATCTGCAAGAAGCCAGGGAAACTATAAACATAGCTTTCTGAGTTCACCGTCACTACTGCACATGTACACAACAAAACAAAGAGAACCGCTTTCTTATCATTTTCACTGTTCTTCTCCACTCCTGAGCACCACAGTGATGCAGAAAATACTTACAGAAGTGCAGAAGGACTGAGAATTCAAGGTCATCTTTGTTACTATTCCCTGCTAGAATCCCTCTTTTTCTGTTGCAAATCTATAAAATAGCCACTAGAAATTATAGGATACAAAGAAATACTATCCAAGATGTGACTGATATCTCTAAACATTACTTTAAAACAGCAGGCAGACCAACCAAATTGCAGTGCCATAAAAATAGCTTGTTACTGATTTACTTTAAAATTAAACAGATTATTGCCTCTCACCCACAGTATTTCTATAAATGAATTGGTTTCCTAGCTTTGCTGGAAGTTTAAAAAGAGCCATTATCTGGTATAGATTAACTTTGGAAACTTCCAGTACAGCACCATACCTCCTTGCTTAACAGAACAATTTTTGTGCAAAGAACACAGAATGAAGCCATCTTCAAGTCTTCTGAATAAAAATAAGAAAAGAAAAAGAAAAAGAAAAAGAAAAAAAGAAAAAGAAAAAGAAAAAGAAAAAGAAAAAAAGAAAAAGAAAAAGAAAAAGAAAAAGAAAAAGAAAAAGAAAAAGAAAAAGAAAAAGAAAAAGAAAAAGAAAAAGAAAAAGAAAAAGAAAAAGAAAAAGAAAAAGAAAAAGAAAAAGAAAAAGAAAAAGAAAAAGAAAAAGAAAAAGAAAAAGAAACCTTCTAGGAATAAAAGTACAAAATGGTAAGAAAGTACTTTTATAGGCATGTTTCATTTTTATACAACTATTTTTATATTTTTATCCACCCAACAATGATTAATTTCCCTGCCTCAGTTTGTTCCCTGAAGTTGAAAAAGCATTTCTGAATCAAAGGATGTGGATGGTGCATGAATTTAAGATATGTAGGTCAGATTCTCAGCAGATGTAAAATGCTGTAATTCTACTAAATATTATATACTAGTAGCTTTTAAAACATGAATAAAAGCCAAATTCTTACTCCAAATACATATACACATAAAATATTTCATACAATGCCATTAAGTTTAGTAAATTCTCCCAGTTTAGATCATTTGTAGATGCACATGCATTTTCTGAAAACGTAATTCCTTATACACACACCAGTATTTAATCAATATAATTTAAATATATATCAGATAAATATCTGTTCAAAATGAGCACACTGAAATTACCAATTCTCTTAACTCTTCAAAAATCTTTGAAAAGTCATCAGTAAGGAGCAGTTGTGGGATAGGATGGAAGCAGAGTTAAATTCAAGTATATTGAAGTGCACTTTTCATATTAAGAGTACAACTTATGTTGAAAACAGTAAGTTAGAATCAATAATAGTCAAAAATTACTTAAAATATTGTAGCATTGACTCAAATTAAGAATGAAGATTCCATTTAAAGTAACAATCATACATAAAAATACAGAATTCCAAGCTGAGAACTAAGTAGATAATATGAACAAAAAAGCAATATGATGACATAACAGGTCTTTTTTTTTTTTTTTTTAAATTACCTCTAAAAATTTGCTAGCTCCTTGTGGACTGCACATTTAAGATTTTAAACTATGTCTATACAAATGTAACTATTGATATGAGAAACAGACTACTTAGAAAGCAAATGGTTTAAATTATCTATTTAAATAATATAAATATCTGGGACGAATTTAACAGATTTCATCAAGATCAGGATTTGGCCCAGTACATTTTAATAAACTATAAGCCTCCAGTATAGTTCACAGCAACTGTTGTCTAGAGAATTTATTTCAAATACACCAATGTAATAAACTTTCTTTTAAAAAGTATAAAAATACTACCTATAATTTCTGAATCACCACAGCCCAGAAGTGTTTTACAAGATTAGAATAAATTATTCTCTCACTAGTTATGGTCTCTTATTTTGCCAGCACTGGTGTGTGCATGTGAAAGAGGCTTTGGCTTCAGTTGCACATTCCTTAATCCTATAAAAATCGCTATAATATAGGAAGGTCATTCATTTTTTAAAGATCACATATCATTTGTTATATAGCCTTCCCAGCCTCAACTTTGCATTCAATTATGACAAACTACAAGTAAATAATTAATTGTACATTAATAATTGCATATTCATGCACATTGCTTGCATTACCATACTGTGAAGCCCATTTTACAACATGATGTATCTGTGTCTCTTATGTATCTTCATGAGCAACATTTGAGTTCTTTCCTCTTTTATACTGAGTTTTAAAGTATAAATAAAGAACCATTCTGCACAGCTACCAAGCTATGGAGAAACTTGCAACTTGGAAGTTCTGTCAATCTCTAGGAAGAGTAGTCAGCAGGAGATTCAGAAATTCAAATTTTAAAAATTTGTCTTGAAATAGCACTAACAGCTAGCAATTGCTGTTCTGGGGATATTACTCTTGAGCAAAGTCGTTAAGCTTTACATGGAAACAAAATCCAAATCGTTACTAAAATTGTCTGTATGTTAGCAATTTTCAAGAAAGGGGTTTTACAGAGTGCCATATAGCAAATCAGTACACGAAGGGCCAAGCCACTAAATATTCTCCTCTTGCAGAACTCCGTCAGCCTGCAACACTCCCAAACTAAGTGTTCAAATAACACATAGCAGCATCCACTTTTCACAAATAGAAAACCCCCACAGAAATAATGAAAAATACCAACACACCTAATTTATCCTTATATTTTGACAATTTGAAATCTTGGCCACTACACACAGTCTTCATAATCCTTACAGACTATCCAACAAATACCACTGGGGAAAGAATGATCAGGACTTTGTCTTCTTTGTTTTACTGAGCTTGTGTTTGCACTGTAGCGGGAAAAGGGATAGGGATCTAGCTGGGTTAGATAACACATTTGAAAATTAGACTTCTATTGATAGCGCTAGAAAAAAAAAAAGAATCTCACTTTCATACAAGATGGTTTGTGTAACTCATTTTCCTAAGAGACACGATCTTAGAGTTCATAGTTGTTCAGAATCAGCTAACCTAGAAAAGAATTACCGTTAAAACTTGATTTAGTGAATTGAAAGCACAAGAGTGATTCTTTGTAGCGAGAACTGCCATTACATCAATAGCAAACCTGGCTCATTATTCTGGAGTTTAAAAGGAATTCACAAATGGCCAGCTAACAAGGTCCACTGGCACAGAGACTTCATACTCAAGGCTTTCTGTTCATTAAGAAGTATATATCAGAGGACAAATGAGAAAATCTGGAAAGTCCAGAGCAGGATAAAGCCTTTTTGATTACAGAGTTTGATTTATCTTTTGGTCAATACATGGCCGTTGGATCACGTATTTGATAACGGACACAATACATCTTAGTTCTGGCTAATAAAGAAATTGGCAGCTGTGTATTTACGTATGGACAAAGCAGCAAGATACCTATGATACTAAGGAGCTCATACATCTACAGTACTTGTAGATAAATAACTTTTTTCCATGGCAAGGGACCTTTTCTTACAGTTAAAAAAGGCATGCAATAATGCTTGGAATCAATGAAGACCTCATGAAAGCAAGATGCAAAACAACAGAACTATTATTCAGTTGCACTGTGCAAAAGACTATCAGAGTCAAGATTTCTAGGTCCTACTGCCAACATCTGTGATCCCTTGTAGTACTTTATATAGGTTTCTCTTTCCCCACCCACAGAAGTACAAAACTGTCCTTACAGGGAGGAGATTCAAAGGTTAACAACTACACAGACAGGAATTATCATGGGGTTATCAAGAACTTACTAGTTATTCTCTCAGTTGATTCACAGTACTCATCCATGCATGCACTAAGCAGGTGGGAACACTCTAGGTAATACCACTCACCATATTTATCCTTTGTTCAGGGCAATGGAATAGGGCCTGGAAGAGCCACTGTGGGAAATAACTCCTGCATAATGTGACAGTATTGAGCATGGGACTTTGTAGTGGAACCAGTGGATCTCCATGCAAAATTTTGGCCACAAGTTCAAGACATAGAAGGTCTGAGGTTCTTGAATGAAGACTGAGGAAAAATGTCAAATACTGCTGTTATTTGCAACTGTTGGTACTTTTCAAACAAAATCTGCAGGAAAAAATGAGGGGAATAAGGTTTATCTCATACAAAAAAGCAAGGAAAAAGATGCATCTAACATGCATTTTGAAGGTAGAAATGTCAAGATATTAGAAGTTATGGAATGCCACAGGCATGCCTTGCAAGACCTACCGACCTACACATCAGCATTTCCAAAGCTTGCTTCTGCCCTAAGAGGCTTCTGAGGAAGAACTTCCGTTATCCAGCTTTGAGTTAGATTTCAGGTGTTCTATCTAGCTTACTTTGAAGTTTTGTATTTGCTTCAACAAGGGAGATCTAAGGTAAGGCCTAGTTATGATTCTGACCCATTGATGTGAATTAGCTCCAGCCCTTCCCTTTACAGATACTGTTAACCTCTGAGCCACAAGCAAAGGCACTAGGCTTAACTTAGGAGACTTTTAGAGTACTTCTACTTTATTCTTCAAGTGAAAAGTTCTTTAGGCAGTGAATATATGGACATTAATGTATGTCAGCAGGTAAGCACGTCAGATAAGTACATTGCCCTTCCGCGCAGAAAGGAATTGAGAAACAAGAAATAGTGCAGCATCTCTGAAAGCAACACTTAAGAGTTTTTAGAGGGCAGAATTCTCCTCTGAAGGTCTAACTTTCCTATGCTCTTCTCTCATACCTATATCGCTACCAGTAAGGTGTGTGGGGGTCAGGATGTAGGATGTAGGACAATAGTGAAAGCTCTAGCTGCATTTGAATGTAATTGTCTTCAGAAAAGCAATGCTAAGGACTTCCTACAAAACCTTTAACCATCAGACCATACTTTGTGAGCAAATGAGAACAGCCTGGAAGGTGAACTTGGCAGTGTTGAGGTGGTATTATTGCAGACAGATGACAGGTTTTGGCCTGTGCAAAGAGACCTAAATGTCTATTCTGACATGACTAAAAACTAGCACCTACTTGGCACCTAATATGAGGCTTAAATCTGCTCAGCTGCACTTTTGGACTTGAGACTACACCTGAGTTTACCAAAGAGAAAACAGCCAATCCCGGTGAGTGCAAATGGCTCTTAAATCCCATTTGGGTAGATAAGATTGGGCCCTAACAATTTAAAATGAGTGGGGTTAACCTTTTAATCTGAACTGTTTCTTATTGCAGGTTTGTGTGTTTGTTTTGAATGTAAAGGTTGCTGTAATCGGTAAGCATGCAGACCAAAAGAAGTTGGGACCCCCAGATCCTAGAAATGTTTTAAAAGCTTAAAGTGAAACTGAAAAGAATTCATGAATGAATTACTACATCTCTTTGAGTAACCAATTCCAATCGCTATTAATAATATAGCTTTCCCTTCAAAGAATTATTTCACCTTATAAAGTCAAATCTTGTAACCCCCTTAATCTTTAATAGAGCCTGCAACAATTACTAGAAAGCACTAGAAGGATCTACAAATTAGAAGCCCTGTGTGATTATCTTTTTTTCCAATAGACTCTTTTGACCATCATAAATAATAGTAAAATTACCATAAAAATTAATAGTACTACACTTAAAGAAAATCATTATGTAAAGGTTTATGAATTTTGCAGCCATTAATAGACATAAGTTAATGAGCCATAGGCTTTCCAGAATATGATATCAGATATTTTTCCACCAATGAAACTTTCAGAGTTCCAAATCCTTCAGAGGTCACTGACTTCAGAAATAGAATAGAAAGTTACTGCATAATACTAACACAAGTGAAAATGAAACAGAAAAGTATCAGCACGTATCATGCATTGCAATTTGAACAATTGTATAAAATACAGAAATCTACCTTGTCAACAACTTGGAATGAATAAATATAGAATTAGAATATTCAAGATGAACAAGATGTATTTTGAACACTGTATGCATATTTTTAAATTAACATGTATGCAGATTCACAGATTTAAGCTAGAAGGGAATGTTAGAATCATATTTTCACATGGGACAGCAGAGCTAAAATATAAAATTCAAAAATGAGGGCTATGGACAGCAAATGGCAGAGCCCCTCGGAAGTACATCCCGGAAATGTTATTTTTTAAAGAAAGTGCTCTTTGACAACAGAATGGCAGTTAATAAAGCTGATATTCCATTCAATTACTCCCCAGATCTTGTTTTTATTATATGCAAGATAAATCTAATGGTTTTAGAGAATGCCAGAAACAACCAAATCCCAATTCAATTATGCACCCAACATTCTCAGGTATGTGGCGTATTAGACACTTACTCAAATACAGAAGATACATATTTTGAAAGAAATAGTTATAAGAAAATTGGACTGATGTTTTACTAATCTTAGAAGAGATTTAAAAATTGACATAATCTTCATGATCAATACATTAAGGCCTGAAATTACAGTATAAACCAATTTCTACAGCATTCCTGTTGATGATTATGATAATATGGACAGGAAAAAAAAAAAAAAAAACAACACAATTTACCTTGTATGTCTTGAAACTCTTTATGAGGTGTTGCTCCTGTTTAGCTTGTATTCTTTGGATGCCATGCAAGATCTAAGGAGTAAAATAAGTATATTATTAATACTCATAATGATAATTACATACATTTTGATAAGAGCTTGCTGTTATTAACCCAGAAGATAGTTCAAGACTCTTCCCTCTTCTAATGTTTGCTGTGTTCACTTTAATGTGACATACTTGGCAAAACAATATAAGAACAAGTTTCAGATTCTTTAGGCTGGGTTTCTACAGGCGTTCATTCAGCCATGTTGCCTTGTTCATCACAATAAGCCAAATATATAATAGCATTAAAAGGCAAAAACATTTGTGATAAAAAATACATTAAAAAATCATATAAAAATAAGCATGCAATAAGTGCTACCTGAATCAGTCACAGCCATATATTACACTATAGACTACAAAGTCACTTAAGAACAGTATACGCTTAAACAAAAAATAGTTCATGCGACCTAGTTCCCTTGTTGCACTTGGAGTTCCACTTACAAAATGCAGACACCACACCTTAAACACACTTATACATTCAAACTTTATATGTACAATTTTAATGATGAAAAAGCTTAAAAGATAAAAATTGCTTCACTTTAAATGGGGGAAAAATGGCGTCAGATATATCCCAAGAGTCAAGTTAAAGATTCAGAAGTCAGGGCTAGGAGGGAAAAGGAAGATAAATAATTTAGCACTAAGAATAACTAAAGCCTGTCAGTCTGCCAGCTTTAAGAGGAATAAAAGGGTTTACAAGGATCCTAGGAGTTTTTTACAGAACCTCTGGGGTTTTGAAAAAATAAAGCCGGAACAAGAAAAGAGTTCAGAAGTATTGCACATAAGTAGATTTTAAAGGCGCTGATTAGACTGGAAGAATACAGTATATAACGATTCCTTTAGAACCTGAGAATTAGGCTGTTCTCTGGTGTTAGGTTTGCCCTCCCATACCATCACATACTACATCATCAGTAGGGCTGCCTTTTTTCACAATGCATCTTCTTGTCAGAAGTCAGGAAGGATGTGCTTATGGGAGGCTAAAATCTGTCAAATGTACCGATATCATTTCATATAGCATGGATAAGCCTGTGTTTGGCAACAAATGTACAGGCACTGCACGACATATAAGCAGTTAATTCTTCTCAGATGAACCACATGGTCATATTGTGGTTTCAATACAATTTCAATACAATCAGTTCTGATGCCTTTGGGTTGAATATTTTTTGCATCTTGTGGTGTCAATTTTCATGGCTTAATACACAATAACTAAGCAAATATAACCCTTAACATGCCTTGACTGTCAGTTAATTTTTGGGGAGGGGGAGTAGCGCAAGTGGAAGAAGAGGGAAGCTTAGCATGACTTTCTTCTATTTTAAATGTATTTTTTGCTCTTACTGCTTTTTGCAATAGAAATTTTTAGTGAGGTCCTTTGAACTGCATAAAAACAGGAGTTAAACTGCAAAACCTACATGAAAAATGTTAATTCCATATCATCACTTTTTACTTCAAAGTGAGATGCAACCTTGTACTTCATCGCTCAGACAATGTTAACTGTAGGAGAATCACAGAAAGGAACCAAGTTCATTTAAGTCATAAAGCAATTTTGAATTGCATTGATTACAGTGATCAGTCTATCACTTTAATGTCATCTCAGCTGGCATTTATTAAAAAGACATACATGTGACAACCCATTGATCCTTAACACTGCAGCTGAGATAAAAAGTCTATTTGCAAAGGAAAATTACTTCTTTAATTAGAAATGGAGTATCATTTTATTTTTTCTTTGTTAGAACTTCAGCAGCCATGGATCAAATATATCATGGGAGGGGTGGTAGAATCTGCCATCAAGTTTGATTTAAAAGTCTTCACAGCTAATCATTCAAAACTGCACAAATGAGCTGGCAAAGCAAACAGGTACATTCCACCCGTAGGAAGTATTCCAGCTCACCATGCCTCAGGAAAGCCTCAAAGGGGAGCTTTACTTCTTGGTGGACTCTGCTGTAAGGCTGCAGTTCAGGCAACAAGGTGACTACTGCTTCAAGGCCCCCTCTACACATGGAGTAAAGTGGCAAAATAATTGTTCCACAGGCAATCTGCAAGATTTTGAATGAATTAACTGTGGTTAGGCTTATACCTCTCGTAATGACAAACTATTTAATAAAAATATTTGCTGACAAATAATCTGGCAAGTATTTGCCAAAGAATATCCTGCAGAAATGACTACATCTGCCAACCATTTAATGTATACAGAAAAATAAATCTCAATCTACTAGCAGATATTCCACAAAGAGATAAAACAAATACATCTGATACACTGAGCACTGTGCTGTTCTATCCATGGCAGGAACCAGTGGAGGTTCAGACTTGATATTAGGAAAAATGTCTTTATTTGAGGCTGGTCAAACACCGGCACACACTTCCTAGTGAGGTGGCTGATGCCCCATGCCCATCAGTATTCAAGAGACATTTGGATAACACTCTCAAGAACGTGCTTTTACTTTTGGTTAGCCCTGAAATAGTCAGACAGCTGGACTAGATGATCTTTGAAGGTCCCTGCCAACTGAACTATTCTATTCTACAAAATTTAAATGATATATAGGAGTTTAGGACTACACAACATCTCAACAACAGAAACCAAGAGTCTCAGTATCCAGAACTGTTGCTCTAAAAATTGGATGCAGTTGCTGTACAGAAAGAATGACGTATATGAAAAATTAATGGATGGAATTCATATCTGCTCCAATTCCAGAGCATAGCGTAGGATGATTCTAATATCATCTAATAATATCAGGATCAAAGATGAGTGGAATAAAACTTCCACTTTTAGATGCTCTTTATCTGCAGGTGTGAATGTATAATGAATTCTCACCACTGGCTCCGTTATAAATCCGATTATGTGGTACGTTATGACAGCATTTTCTACTATTTTCTTTTGGCACAACCTTATTGGAATAAATGACAAAACAGCAGGATGCCAAAACATTCTTCTAAATGGTCTACTTGACAAGACAGCTTCTAAGTGTGACCCAGATATACCTTATCAGTACTCTTGGAACATAAAACATGAAGGAATGAACACACAAACCATTTACTTAGGTGTGCATTTCTTTGTTTCTTTCATACTACTTGACAACCATGCCAAACTATTTATTCCAGGACAAAAAGCACTTGAAATCCAGGCTAAAACAAAACACACATTATTGGGTAGGATAGACTTATAGCATGCCAATTTTTGACTGGTTCTCTCTTAAACAAGAGTAATGAATCATTTGATGTCATCTCAATTATCACGTTAGCTCTAAACAGCTGAATTGCTCCACCTATCAATTTCTTCTGTGGAACTCTCTAAACTAGATGACAGCTTTTTTCAGTGGACAAACCTATCCTCTGACAGATTACAAGGGTAGGGATTTGACAAGATTCAAGATACAGAAGAAGGCCAGGCTGTTCTGTACATTAACTGAATATTAGGTCATTTTACATCAAGTCAGGTTGGATGGGGCCCTGGGCAACCTGATCTAGTGGGTGGCATCCCTGCCCAGGGCAGAGGGTTGGAACCAGGTGATCTTTAGGGTTCCTTCCAACCCAAGTCATTCTATGATTGTAATGGTACAGAGGGAATTTTATTGCAATTTGTATTGATGATTCAGTGTTTAATTGGGAAGAAGTGTTCCTGTAGAAAAGCCACATCAAGAATGGGGAGGGGATCATTATATGTCTTCAAAAACAGTTCTAAATGAAGGTAGGTTCCAGTTGTAACACGTATTTCCAAAGGCATCTAGTTTTTCTCTCTAGCACAACTTGCCTTGCTGCAAGCACCAAGAAACAGATGAACACTGAGGATTAGTAGAATGCATAACAGAAGGTTGCAGAGGTGTACATACAAGTGAAGGAAAAGTCAGCATAAAGGGAGTTAACTGGCTTGTTCCCTCCTCCCTTCTCAGTCTAGGAACCCTTCCATATGCTGTGTTCTATTTATTATTTCTGCATTGCCTCAGTAGGGAAATATTCACACTGAGCCAAAGGGATTAAAGACTGAAGCTCGAGAGAAGTCAGATCACATCCGTCATATCCAGCTGTTTTCAATTCCAACACCTCACACCTGCTTTTATTTATTATTCCTTGGCTAGACAAGACAGAGCTCATTTTTCAACCTTTAAAAGCTTTCCTAAGAAACAAAAGACACAAATCAATCTATCCCTTTCCCTTTTGCATATCTGCAATAGCCCACCAAGACGACAGCAAAACAAACCACTGGCGTGGAGCTCATCTGACCTAATGGGACGCCACTGAGGCTGGACAGCTCCTTCTTGCCTCCCAGCACAGGAGGACACAGCAACATGGAGCAGAAACTACCAAATACACCAACTTGCTTTTAGCAGACTCTTAACCCCACTTACTCCCACTGACTTCAATTACTTTGGTTTTAATTTACACTGGAAATGGACTGCGAGGGATCATGCACTACTTCATGCAGCAGGGACCTCCACTTTTACTTGTGTCAAGCCCTATTCCACAAAGCCTCTGCTGGCAGCACGTATGGATTGCTTTCCTATTCTGTTAGGAGGTCACACTGCCTCAGCACTTGATTGCCCTTTTTTACCAAGTAATATTTTCAGAGAGGGACTCATAAGTCACTCTTTTTGCAATCTTCTCTAGTGTCACTGGCTAGTCTTACACCAGGATCTTTTTAATTAACTGCTCACTAGTAATTATTCAGCCACATTTAAAGTGTGAATTAGATGTACCAGGCCTCTGTGTACTTCCTGCACACTCTCCCTCTCCCACTCGCAGTTGTTCTTCTCCTGTACCTATACCCAGGTACATAAGATCACAGAAGATTTTGCCCAGGCTCCCTCCTTGGAGATGCTCAGAAGCCACCCGGGCAACTGGCTCAGCAGATAGGCAAGGTGATGTCCAAGGGCCCCTTCCAACCTCAACTGTTCTGTGATTTCAAATTCTTGGATGAAAGCTAGCACTGAGACACATTTTGTTATTATAAATGATAACACTTCATTGGAGATGCTGAATACATTTAGTTTTAAAAGGCATCTCTACCTCAATAATCCTTAAAAAAATAAAGGATGCTTCATAGCAAGAACAACTATCAGCCTGAATTCAAAAGTGAACTGATTCATTAAAATCTGGATGGCATGCAATAAAACACCTATAGAAGCCATATTACTGATGTGCTGTAAATGCTATTCAGTTTCTGCAAGAATAATGTACACTTACTAGACAGACATCAAGGCAATTGCCCATGATACAATGTTAAAAAAAATAGATTGTATGGTTTGCAGTAGCATCAAGTCTCTATTCAAGTGTAAAAAAATTAATTGACTCCATCTGTATTGGCCTAATGACTGATTAAATGACTAATCACGGAAGTCTTAATTAAAATCATTTTTCTGTACAGCAGAAGATGGAGGGAGGAAGGCATTCATTAATGTGTTATAATGTATGTCAGATTCCATTTGTGCCATTTACTAACAGCCATCAAATGAGTAATTATGCACAAGGTCATTCTGTAAACTTTCTGCATACATCAGGCTGATTGGATTAGGGCTTGGTGCTTGGCTAGGTTCTGCATGTGGCTGCATTTTTCCATCACAAAATAGGTAATTAATATTGCTTAGAATAAGTAATGAAAGAAGTTGACATTTCCTCTTCCATCTTCCCACCAGCCAATCCAGTGTAAGATTAATACACAACTTTCATGTATTGTTGGGTAAAGTCCCATACCTCATGCACTAAATCAAGCCCATCCTCCTCAGCGGACTGTTTAATATCCTTCATGAATTGTCAGGGAACTCCATCACACGATGAAATTCTTTAATATGCAAGGAATTTTTCCTGCATGAATCAAATGACCAGGCAATTAGAAGAAAAGAATCCTCTAAGTAAATGAAGATATTACCATAAAATTAAAAGATTTAAAATTTTATTTGCCACCCACTTGACGACCCTGATGCCTGGTAACCCTTGCTATCAAAAAAAATACCAAGCTTGTTCTACCTCAATAGCTGAGATCAATCTATTTAAAAAAAAAATATTTAAAAAAACGAAATAGAAGTATATCTCAAGCATTAGCTAGAACAACTTTCCACTTGCGTGCAACTTATATGTAGGATCTATGCTTTTTAATGAAATGGCATATCATATGTGTCCATGGTATAAGTTGTAACACGAATACTTGGCTGACTGCTACCCTGAATTTTCTAGGAAGTCTTCTGTAAAGCCGCAGTAAGTCTGCCATATCAGTAGTTAAATAACTACTACAGCTACATACAAATTGCAAGCAAATACAAATTTAATTTAGTTTGAATTAATTAAAACTAGTCAAACTTGACCCCACTTACCACAAAACTGTAGAAAACAAAAATACATGACAACAAATTTCTGCATGCTGAAACTGCCAGTGTCACATATGAAAGAAGTTAATTTTACTAATAAACAAAGGGAATGGAACCAAGTAACAGACTTAGAACTAAATTCAGAGTTTTAAGGTGGCTCTCAAGGCTTAAAACCAGCACTGGGACTCAAAAGTGTGCCATGCTCCATGCTTCAAGAGAATCAATGAATCTTAGGTTCATCTTCATTTGAAGATGGACACATCTAAAACAACAAAACGAACCACCACCAAACTGGAGAGCTCCAAACACAACAACATACATATGGCAGAGTAAATCTGTCAAAACCTGAAGATATTTTTATGGAGTAATTCAACACAATCTGCACTACTCTGCTAATGCAAATGAAAACTTTTGCACAACTACCTAAATTACAGGGTGGTGTGCCATTCTTAATCTTCACAGAAATGTAGGAGTTCCTGTTTCAATCATTTCTATTGTTTGAAATATACTAGATGATAACGGAGGGGCTGCCACTGTATGCAGAGACTGACTTCTATATGAAGCTAATTAATGACAATTTACGACTTACTGTAGGCTTGAAGGAATTACTAGATAATGGTGAAGATCAAAGTGCAAGACAGCTGCAAGTACATTAAATGACCTGTCTGAAATTTCAGCATTGTCTTTTTTCTGCATGCGTTGATTATGTAGCTTATTCGTTATCTTTGGTTGTATAAATATTTAAAACAAAGCCAAGCATTTCAAATACCTTAAGTGGACCCCCTTATCAGCACACACATACACGTAGCAGTACAGTATAAAATGACAACTACACTTGACTGAAGGACAGCCTTCTCTCTCTCAGCTTTTCACAGAGAAGTTTTATTTCTTCAAGTATTTAAGAAAAAAAAGTATCTTATGGCCACAGACAGGCAATGGGTATTACAGGGAATGGAAATTTCTATCTCCAAAGGACACTTAACGGGGTGAAAAAAAATAGTTTCATATTAATAAGTCAGAATGCAGCTCCGAAAAAAAGATAAAAGGAAAAAAATAAAAAAACAGCAGTCTGTGCTCAATTCCCTGGCCACATTGCAAAAAAGGAGGGAGACAGTTGCTGCTTACCTTGAGTGTTTTTGAAAGTGCTGTAAACAGGTATCTATGTTTTCTGTTATTAGCCAGTGCACTTTGTCATGTCCATTTTGACATCAACTCAACTCTCATATCTGTTCAAGTTTAAAAAAACAAAACACCTTGTCTGCTGCAGAGATGCTATTGCAAATCACGTTGGGACCAACCCTGATTAGATGCTGAAATCACTACATCTGTTCATGTGACTAACAGCAATTCCATTATCATTATTTTATCCTTTGCTATTAGATGAACTAGTGAAAATGCTGGAGAATTGCTCATCATGGCAGATTTGATCATCACTATTTCAAAAAGCCTGCAACCTTTTGTATAGTAAATAAATGAAAGCAAACACTGCAAAAGTTATCAATAAGCAGGCTACAGTAAATGTCTCTTCCACCAAAACCCAAATAACAGGAAAGGTAAATAATATCTCCCTCTTGCTGTTTACAACTGTCATCCATTTCAGAGGACATCTCCACACTCATTTTGTTGGTTAAGAAATGCAAATTAGATATCCCCTATTCTTCTGTTTGTTTTGTACACTGAGCATAATTTCTGCATGAATGTCCAACTGTTTCCATCTTCTTTGTGTCACAGAAACCTCATTTACCAGTCATTCTTCTCCATATGAAAAGATCTATAATGAGGAGTCTTTCTGTCATTGCCCTACTCCTCTGAGTCAGGAATTTTTATTTCCCCCCTAATACTTGCTGCTGTAGCTGCAATTTCATTTATTGTTGTCTCATACCACAGCCTTAATGCAAGAACATCTGTGGCTGGATCATGGAAAAGATTCAGTATTGCTTTCAGAGTTGCGTATCGATTCAGTGGTTATGAGAAACCAGACTTTTGATGTATGTTTTCAAATTATTCTTGTAAGACGGATGGTTTATTCACTGCACTTGAAATGACAGTTTATTTTTAGGTATTCAAATATTTTTCCAGTTAGCCGCCTAACAGAAGTATCCTTATGAGAACACTGAACATAAAAAGTAAGACTGGGTCTATCTGCATATGCTTTCTTCCTAGAAAATAATTGAAAAGGCATACAATCGTCCAAAAACTAAAAATATATTTTAATTCACATCTAAGCAGCATCATGAAATAAATTGCTTTTTGTTTTGAAGAAATGACACAGTTCAGAAAAAATATTTCTACTGCTTTCTTCCTTTTAGCACATGTATGAAGCAATTTACATATGCACATGCATTTATGTTTAGCTTCAGTGCAACTCCAGAAATCAAGCATATCAGGATAGGTCATCTTAACCTCAGAAAGCAGATGTCATGTTTGCTTTGTTAAAAGCTCTAGAATTTGTAAATCAGTATCCTGACATTCATAAGTTCTCCTGGTCTTTCTGGCTTTTCAACACCGCCTTCACGTTTCAGGACCTCCTGCTATGACTTTAGTTGCCTGTCTTTCCAGTTAGGTATCTTTAAGCAGTGTAATGACAGCAACAGAAAGAAAAGCAGACTGCAAAACCAAGCTGAAAAACTAAGTAGTAGATCTGAGCAACTATTTTAGAGGTACAGTAAAACTTCCCACAACTACTTTATTTGGAAGCAGGAAGAAAAAAAAAAAAAAAAAAAAAAAAAAGCTCTAATAAAAGTTCTCAAGGAAGAAAAAAAGAAAAAAATCCAACACCAAATGGTCTCCACACTGAACAACAGAGACATTGCTCTTGCAAGCACCCCCAGGCTGAGGTTATAAAGAAGTAAAAGATGAATTGGCATAAAATGTGAAAGGCAGCATTGCATTACAGTGGTCAACTAAGAAGAAAGGGTCATTTCTCCTAACAAATAACACCAATTAGAAGTGGTGTATTGCAAAGAGAGAAAAAACTGCTTTCAGCAGACAGCATTCTCCAGCTGAGCAGGGGTAATACTGATTCGCACATACCTGCTGTCTCCCATTTTCTCCTGTGAGACTCATCTTCTCAGCTTTCTCAGCAGATATCCTGCCACTTGGCTTTTTGCCTTCTTTCTACAGAAAAAAATATGTATTTCTATAGTGCTTAAGGAAAGTGCCAAAAATGGTGTAATTTATGATGTGCTAGTGTTTTCCTCTGCATTCATAAGTTAACTACAAACGCAAAATCATCAGCACTTGAATGTTGGGATTTCGATTTACATATATTAACGTTCTCTCATGATTTCCTATTATTTATTTCTGTAAACAAAATTGGATTCCGGTCACCAAACTATTAGTATTCCCTAGGGTAAACCCTGCCAAATAGTGAAAAATATGAAAGCTAGAACATACAACTCAACAGATAAAAGCACTTGAAACCAGAAGTTATTTCAAATTGTCTAACCCAAGACACTTCTCTCTTCTTCTGTTTTAAGAATTAAAACCTTACTGGGAATGAAGTTATAGTGAAGGTACAGTTAAGTTATAAATGGTTATTTTATCTAAAGCCAGACTTTTGGAATAGGCATGTCTCAGTTTCTCAATTCAAACAACACTGTCTGGGCCATTTCATGTTGGCCTAGGAAGTCTAGACCAAATTATTTTCTATTTTCCTGAATTTTTAAATATTGACACCAGAATTTTATGTGTTTTAGTATGATTATAACCATGTAAACTGAGCGTTTTACATTGAGCTTGTCACAGATGAAAGTTTAATTGCTCTTAGTTTTCTGAAATACTCTTCTGGATCCCTCTGTAAGATACACTGCAAAGCCTGAGAAACTGTGTTGACAGCATTACACAAATAAGGCTTTATTCCTCTCTCCATTCAGGTGTAGCAGAACCGATGCTATCTTGGATGCTTCTTATTATAACCAACAGAGCAAACAATTGCGTAATACTACATTGCTTATGGTGACTTTACAACCAACCCACCTTGTACGAACTCAAATTTCACAATTAAATAACTTTTCATTACAGTTTGCTGCAAAATGTGCAAGAAGGCTGTTTTGTTCTTAATGAGCAGAAACAAAGCAGCATTTCAGAATGCAAACCAGAAGACAGGAGAATGCTTTGGTAGGTAATTTCTCACCCTGGCATGAATATTTTATGTAGAAGAGCTGTTGCTGAATAATTTGGGACAACAACTAAGAATAGCATTTGCCTCAAATTCTGTGGGGTGAAACATGAAAGATGGATAACATTCTAACTGTGATACTTCATCCTAGCTAGAACACGCTGAAGATTCTAATTGTGAATGCTGCAGTTATTTCCACAGTGCCTTAACTTTTATCTTGCCATATAACAATAAAGTGAAGTCTTTACCTTTGCAAGGACATTAACTAACATTCTTCTCTCCATTACCTTTTGCTGTAGTAGCAGTATTTTTCTCTGGGCAATGAATGAGAACCACATTGCTCACAGAATAATTCTAGGGTCTTAATGAACTAACAGTTTCAGAAAGATCTTCGTGTCACTAAATTTGATTTAAGTTTTATTATTATTAATAATTGATAACTCTTGTACCATGAAGTTTCCATGTTTAATTTTTTTAATACTATTTTTTTAAGTTCCATAGTTAGGCCTATTGAAGGTTTGCTGAATCGCCTAATCCTTCTCTAATATAGTGCTAAGTACACAAAACAAATAAACATCCTTCATAAGAGACAGAGAACTCATCTCCTGCGTTTATTTATAATGTCTTCCCATCTTTTCCCCAAAAGCAGAACAATAGAAAAAGGCAAGAATAACCTGTAGAATATTCCTCCCTTGTTTATTTAAGAGCCTCTTAAGCATCAGGGAATGTCCCACATTTAGGTAATCCTTTTATTAAAAAGAATTATTTGTGCCAATTTTTACCTGAAATAATCTCAAAATAAGTAGCTGTTTAAAGAAAGGTATTTAAGAGCAATGACTTCAAGGTACCTGACAGGATCCCACATTAGTCATCTCAGAAACAGTCTTTTTTTTTTTTTTTTTATTACACATCTGTAGTCACATTTCTGTTGTCCCACATTACCAGGTAATATGGCACAAAAAGGTTTAGAAAGTAAACATAATACTGTGGCATTAAAAAAGCGTAATACAAAGTACAGTACATTAAAAGCACCCAGACAGCAAGCTAATAAGGTTTATAAATTCCAGCTTCACACGCTTCAAAGTGAGGCTAAAGCAACCATATCAGAGAAACACTCCTAAATACCCCCTTCAGGTCAATTTTAATTACAACAATTTTGACTGTCAGCAAGACAAAGATCACGTGCCACCTCTGAGGTGTTAGTGCCAGCAGGATGACTACTTTCACAACCACCATTGAAGATAGGGCAGCTTGACCTCTCTGGGAGTAAAATATCAATTAATTACCTTTTTACAGCCAACCCAATTACAGTATACTAATCACCTGTGTAGGACATTACGCCAGAAGTTGGAGGGTGCGGGACTGGCAGTCAGGCAGGAAAAATATTAGTGGTGAACGACCCTCAGTAAGGATGTACTTATAGTAGGCAGTAGTCCTACAACTGTGGATGTGACATATATTAACATCATGCAAAAAGTTATTAGCTGTTTATATGAGACTGAAATGCTGTAATATCACCTTCATTTAACTGAACTTTTTCCAAAGCAGTTATTGGTCCTAGGGGTAATAGATATGTCTCATTGAAAGGTGACCAGACACACTGCATTAGTCTTTAATATTAGAATCAATTCACCAAAGAGCTTTGTTCATTAACACAAAAAGGGAGGAGAGAAGATCTATTCAGCAGAAGGCAAAATAAACTTATGTGAAATAAACAGGTAAAAACTTAGCTTTGAGGACAATTTCAGTACTATTCCAGCCCCCCAAAAAAATCCAAAAAAGTAATACTAATGTATATGTACACACAGTCAACATACACTGTGCAGCTTACGCAAACAAAATGAAAAAAATGAATGTATTTTGTTTATGGCACTCATTAAATGGCAGAACAGAGTGTGTTCAAGGACCTCCTCTAACAGGGATTTTTTAAATGCATGTTGCTACATTTAGTTCAACGAAGATAGCAGAAAAGCAGAAACAGAAAGAAAAAGTTATGCAGTCAGTATCTGAAACAGCAAGAGAACACTGCTTCTTCCAGCACAGGTTGTAGCTTACTGCTCACAGCAGATAAACACACTATACATTTCGTGTTAGTCCTCCGAATTTCCCATCGTTACAAAGCAAGCGACTTGATAAACAGTATTCAAAGTATAAAAGCATATTTTGACAACACAGTTGCACAAGTTAAACAATTAACGACAGCCCTACTGCTAAAACTCTCACAGTATGGCCATGATATATATAACTGATAATCTGCTAGCAGCAATTAGAGCTTTAGTCTCTCTTGCCAGTATGGTAGCAACAGCAGTGGAAGACTTATGTGTAAGCCGAGAAAATTTACAAGGAATACTGCCTTTTTTTATTAGCCTGCCCTGATTCATCTTCATTATTATAATTTCTAATACAGCCTGATTAAGGCTAGAATACAAACATACCTATGCTACATTGATACCTTCAATTTCTTTGTAGATAGCATACTGAATGTCATTAGTCACTGAAGGTGTTCCTAAAAAAGAGAACTCTGAAAATTCCATTACAGGTTGTAGATTTATTTCTATAACCCAAAAAATGATACCCCATACTTTCAAGGAATGGAATATAGAGTCTGATCTTGTAGAGAGTTAGGATCTCTTAGGATTTTAGGGCATTCATATTCAAGGTGTTCAATATCACTCCAGCATGCAGCGAAGGCTTCAAAGATGCTAGGTACGCAATTCATATGAATCTTTCACAGTGCTTTGCAAGGAAGAACTAATACAAAATAGATGTTAGCTCTGCAGATTGAAATAAAAATATACTACAGCAAAATAGAGGAGCCAGCATGGATTTTTCCTTCCTATTCTGTAACACTAACAAGTGTGCTGTTTCTAAACAGCAGGTTTGTCTTTCCTCAGAGAGGAAACCCTGTAGCTCTTCAAAAATAATTCTCGAAGAAAAGCACTTTTTGTTCCTCTTGCAGACTCTTGAATGGAGAAAAGAGCATCCTACTACAATTTCTATTCTAGTTGTCTGTTCTATATAGGTTCTTACACCACAATCACTGATGAAATAGCTAAAAACTCTTCCCTAGTACTCCGAGCAATGTAACCAACATCAGGCAAGTCTCTGTTCTGTGACTGTCCCTATTAAGGGAAATTCTCCTATTTAAGACTTGTTTTCTGAGACAGGTTTGTACATTCTGTACCACACCTCAGACAGTTACCCATACTTTCTATTCCAAGACTACTCTGACTAATATTTTGTTTCTGATGCTTTAACACAGTACTGATGTTTGTGTCCGTTTTGCATAGAGTTCTGATATATAAACTACCAACTGATTTCCTTGAGCAAATGAGAGCAAATGATTTTGCTGGCAAACCTCTTGAATCTGACAGAGTAAAAATCAACATAACAATAATATAAGATTTTTTTATTTTGAGATGTATTCAGAAAGAATACCTCCATGAACTCAGCAGTCTATTTCAGCTTCGAAACTTCTTTTTCCCTAAAGGTCACATTTCAAAAGTTCTGCTAAAAACTCTGTAATATATATGCAGCAATACAATTATGTCATTATTATTACATAAATATATTCCCATATTGACTTTTAATATAAATATTCATTCTTAAACTTCTGTGGCTAGGCCTACATTGCAAATACAAGAGGCTACTGTCTGAGTTAAAACCCCTCAAAAATGCGTATCGAATATGCATTCATGTCAAGTAAGCTCCTGCCTGACCCACCGCTTTAAAAAAGAAAAGGAAACAAAAACCACTACAGTTTGCCAGTGTTTTGAAATGTCAAAATCTTGATTACAATTCAGCTGTGGATTATTTTTGGGACTGGTAAGGATTTGATAGTTGGTGAGCAAGTTTGTCAACAGAAGCTTTCAGAATGACAAGTCTGTTTCTGGTTCAGTTTTTAGACAGCAGTTGATATCAATCTAATATCAGATTAGATTGATAAAAGTTGCACATGGCACGAAAGGTCCCCTAGTGTCTAAATCAGCTGTCATTT